GAGCCTTGCCTGTTGATACATCTCAAAACAATTCAACTGCCTCGTCATCTAAATGAAACTTTTCCAATAACAAAGAAGTATTGTCTGAATTCTGGAAGAACTTAAGTTCCTGAGCAGTTTCCTGTGCTTTTGCAAGTTCTATATAATTAATATTTTCCAAACAAATTGAAATTAAGTCATTGCGACTTAAAGCATCGGCAACAGCATTGTGTTTTCACCATTGTATACGAGTACGATAAAACTCTTTTCGCTGCGAATAATTCTGTTATTCAAACTTTTGGGATTAAATCCTTACCTAGTTCTGGATTTTAGGTTAAAAAAAAATCAAATGGCCATTTGTTATAGCAAATATAAAACAATCAATTTTGGGAGAATCAAGGTAAAAACACAAAGGTAAAATCATAAAGGTAAAAATACAATGGTAAAAACACAAAGGTCACTACATAGTCTATACCTCGGTGCAAGAACACTTAACCTAACAGGGCTGCTTATTGAGCTGAAAGAAAGATCCATTTGACAATGGTGTTCTCTATGCCAAAGCTTCCTGCAGAATTCTTTATCGCGTCGAGAACAGCACTTAAGGTTGAGCAATGAAATCATCAAATAAATTTTGGAATGCCATACCATTCTTCTGCTCAGGATTGAATATCTCCGAACAAAAATTTCTGTGAGATAAATACTCGGCAGAATATAGCAAATGGTCCTAGTCGGCCTAGGCCAGACCGATTACCTCCAGTCTTGAAGTCATATATTTTCTTCTCATCCCAACATAATTTTTAACCCTTAACTTCAGTGTAATCCCTCCCTGATTATTGAAAAGTTAGTTTTTTACCCCCTTTTATACTTGACAAAAAAAAACAAATGTTTGCAACTAATCAACTATAGAACACTAACTAGAGCCCAATTTCATATTTTTTTAAATTATCGTTACCCGTTATATTTTTGTGTATTCAGTCTCTATTTATAAATTTTATTTCGTTGAGCATTGAGGCCTTTAGGTCAGTAAATAGTACTGATTTGAGGTCCTAAATAAGTCTAAGTACCTATTTGCCGAGCTAATTGCAAAAATCCTAGGAATCCTGGGATCTTAATAAATGCTGTAAGTGAATTGAAAAGCTGAGAAGAGGGTATTCAAATTTTACAAATAGTTTTAATAAAAGCTATAGCTATAGTGAGTATTGTGACCCTAGTTATTGTTTGCTTATCCCATCATACAATGCAGAAGTCAAATATTTTGGATCAAGTGTGGCAGTTTTTTCTGAGGTTTTTTCCTACATACTAAAACATTTATTTCACAAGTTTCCCGATTTATAATATATCTTATCTACGATATCAGAAGCTGATAATTTGGTAATTTTAGAACATCTTATCAATATTTGCTAGCTAATTGTTTAAATTTCATGAAATTTTTGCCATTATTCAAAGAAAATTGAAATGTTTTACACTGCTCTTCGGACACGAGATATTTTGAATCCCTGGCAAAATGACGCCAGTAGATATTGTGACTTTAAATTTGTGGAATGGCTTGGTAAGAATCTAGAATTATTTGTATTAAAGTGTATAACTCTAGGAATAACTTGTCCATACAACCCGCATTACTCAATCAGTCTCTAGACTTTCAAGGATAATAAACAATAAAAATCGGCTCAATGTCAATAGGCTTGATTTTTGGAGAAAAAAAAAATCCTGCATTTATTTTTCAATAGGGTCTCGGGATACGCCAATTGTTTTCAATATTTGAGATATTTGTTTCTTTATTTCATTTTCTCCAATAAAAGTAGGGAAGGTTTGGAGAAGAATAGTGTTTTATTCAGTACTTACCTATTAGTTTACTCCTGATAAAACAATGCATCCACTATTATTTATCTTTATCCCATTTATTGTAAACTCTAGTGTAAACCTATTTGAAATGCCAACATTCTTTTTTATAGGAGAATTTGAATATTAAAATCTTTTCAGTTTTATTGACCGATACACTCTGAATTATTTACTGTGGCTTCATAAACCAAATCTCATTCTCCATTCATCAAATGCCAACTGCACTCTTCAATGAATTTTAAACCTGTATAAGGCAGATAATATCAGAGTAGATTGTGGGCTCACATCGGAGTTATGCAGCGTTAGATTTCTTGTGCCATTCAACATGTTATAACTATTTGGTCAGAGTAAAATAATTTATTTCCTATAACTTCCGAGAAGCTTTGTTCTAGGTAAAATAAAACAAAATAAATTTCGACTGTGTTTCAATTTCGTACCTACGCTCCTGTTTTATTTCGAAACCCACAATTAAACGAGAACTGGACAATTTCCAATTTTTCAAAAAGTTAAAATAAGATATTTGTACCTACTAACTACAGCTGACGCTTCCAGTTAGCTGTCCCATGTTTTATTATTTTAACCATATTTTAGTTGTGTTGTAATGGTTTTTTTATATTTCGCGTATTAAAGTTATAAAAGTGCAATTTTTGATTATTACTTACAGTTTACATTGTAATGTGGTAGTGCCTTGTGTTTATATAGTTTTATTTTAAAATATGTGATAATGATGACACTAAAAGGTCTAGCAGATTTGAGGAAGTGAACGTGTTGAAGTTATTTTAACGACAACTATTAGATTTAATACTTTTGACTATAAACATCTGTCGCTGCTTCCCTTACTATTAAAATTTGGCATATTTATGTGATGCCTTTACTTACTTTTGGCGATGAAGTACCATCTAATATTTTCAGTTTAAAGGTGCAACAGTATACAGATGTCCATAATAATTGCGAACAAAGTTCATCTCTGCCTTATTTTTCTATTAGGTATGCTTCTCATTAAATTCACTGAATAATTAGCCAATCAAATTCCGAATCAAATCGTGGCAAATTTATCTAATGACTGCTAGAATAAATAGTTCAAGCAGATGTTTTAATAATAGTTCGCTTAATAAAGTTTTGCTGTTTTGATGGCTATTGCTAATCCAGATCTTCATCAGTGTTAATTACCAGTGTCTTGTTGAATGAAGTGTCTTTAAAACAATCACTTTTTTCAAAACAAACTTTAGGTTGAAAATTTCGATCGACTATAGAAGAGGATTTGAATAAAATCATTTCAGTGTCGCAACAATTTGAATAGTGCAAAATAACTGTGTATAATGTATTATGATGACTATGTTTTTGAACCAAGCACTAGGAAAAGAAAATATAGGGTACACCGGAAAGATAGACTTAGGAAACAGTGGACATTGCTTTTGTCTGTGTCTTCTTTGGATGATGTTATTGGTATGTAGAACTCTTTTCATTTGTGTACCTAATTTGAAAAAAGTTTTCAAGTGCCTACTCCATTGACGCTTACTCTCATAAATTCAAAATAGTTATTTTTGATAGTGTTGAAAGTGCATTTTTGAGGTATGCATGTGCTTTAATTCATACATCAGTGCATTTCGCATTCTCTTACTAAACATTTCACAGCTCAGCTTCAAGTTTTTAAAGAGTGGACGTTTTCAAGAAAGGTGAAAGCCATCAATAAAAACGTCTTGCTGGATTATTGTCTACAACAACATTCAAAACAATGCTAAGTCCAAAACTTTAAGTACTCAGGCTACTAAAACTTAAAAGTCCAAATTAGCAGCAGAGCTGGGCAAAGCTCTCACTGAAAGGGCTTGAAGCACTAAGCCCTAAGCCCTTTCTCAAAGTGCTTTAAATTCCAAGCACAAATTCCTTTTTATTTTCAAAAGTGCTTCACAAGCACAAAGCCCTCAAAGTGCTTAGGGCTTGGCAAGCACAAAGCCCTCAAAGTGATTTGAAAAGGGCTTGTGCTTCAAGCCCTTTTCAAAAGTGCTTGGGGTGCCTTAAAAAGTGCTTTGAAGCTCTTTAAATGTGCTTGAAGCTCTTTAAATGTGCTTGAGGCTCTTTAAATGTGCTTGAAGCTCTTTAAATCTGCTTGAAGCTATTTGAATGTGCTTGAAGCTCTTTAAATGTGCTTGAAGCTCTTCAAAAGTGCTTGAAGTTCTTCAAAAGTGCCTGAAGCTCTTCAAAAGGTTTTGAAGCTCTCCAAAAGTGCTTGAAGCTCTTCAAAAGGACTTGAAGCTCTTGAAATGTGCCTAAAGTACTTTGAATTTGTGATACAATTCTCAAAGTTGCAAAAACTACTGCGCATACACTCATCAGTTGAATTAGTATAGTAGAAATAGAAATGAACTTTAAATTTTACAAATTTGCAGTAGTATTTTATTTTATTTTTTGAGTGGTAATGGTAATGGTAATTCAATTTTGAGGTTTTCAAATTGTTTAATGAGGAAAAGTGAAAAAAATTCCAGTGATAAAGTTAAATAGGGTACCTTATATAAATTAATTATTTATTTAAACAATCAGCCCATTAATTTTTTTTAAATTCAATTCTAAGGTCAAACCCAAAACCTCCATTATTAATAAAGAAAAGAAATTGGAGGGTCCTAGTTCAAATAATAGAAAAAAAATTAAGCCACAAAACACATCGATCCAAACTTTTTTGGTGGGGGATAGGTTAAATGATGGTCAATTCAAATTCCTTTCAAAGTGCTTCAAGCCCTTTTAAAGTGCTTTAAGCCCTTTCAAAGTGCTTCAAGCCCTTTCAAAGTGCTTCAAGCCCTTTCAAAATGCTTCAAGCCCTTTCAAAGTGCTTGAAGCCCTTTCAAAGTGCTTCAAGCCCTCTAAAAGTAATTGAAGCTCATTGAAAGGGCTTGAATTACTTTTTTTCAATTACAAATTACCAAGCACTTTTCTGATGTAATTGACTTTGCAAGCCCCAATTACAAATATATAAAAGTGCTTGAAGCACAGGGCTTTCAAGTCCTCAAAGTGCTTCAAGCACTTTTACAAGCACAAAGCCCTCAAGCCCTGCCCAGCTCTGATTAGCAGCCATCCACTTTTGGCTATACAAGTTTCACAAAATATCAACCATCAACCAAATGGTAAAAAAACTTCTGTTGTAGGTATAAAATATTCATGTATGTCCACAAAAAAGCAACATATTCATTATCCATCCGTTCCTTAGACGGCACCTGAATAAAAATCACATCATTCCAAATGATCACATTTTTATATTTTGAATAAATAAGTAAATAATGGTTCACAAATTGATAAGAATTTTGATTTTTTTTTTCATGGGCCTTCACCATAGTTTGTGAGCGTAGCCTCCAGGTGGTACTCGATTTGATCCTCCTTGGTGAACTTCTGGATCATATCCCAATCCTAACACGGGGTTCCCATCTGAAAATATTCAATCAAATAATGCGCCAAATCATATTTAACAATGAGTTTACCTATTCTCCTATCTGTCTTGCCTTTGTATTCATCGTGAGAGTGCAGACCATTTCCAGTTAGGGGATTTCTGAATCCACTTGGAGGTCTTTTTTCTGTGTATTCATCATGAGAACGTAGCCCTGATCCAGTTAGAGGGTTCCTGTATGAGCTTGAGGGTCTTTTTTCTGTATGTTCGTCTCTGGAGTGTAGCCCTGATCCAGTTAAAGGATTCCTATATGAACTTGCAGGTCTTTTATCCACAGCATATTCATCGCTTGATTGTAGTCCAGATCCAGTGAGAGGGTTTCTGTAAGAGTTTGAAGGCCTTTTTTCATCATTGTAGTTATCCCTAGTCAATCTTGGTGACAAAGGTGCAGATGACTGTTGTAAGATTTGTTCCTTTCTAAAACTAAGTATATGATTTCGCCGTTTTAGCAATAATGTTAACGAAGACATACTTTTGGTCAGCAGATTCTTGTATTTTGTACACTTTTCTGGATTGGGCTCCATTTACAGAAAAAATGGCAGTTTGCAAGTTTGTTGGCAAATTTTCTAGGGAAAATATGTCGCTGTGATATTTATATAACTTTTCTCTGAAACAATGAAATTTACTTTTTATTTAAGTTTGTTGAATTGTTCACAAATTCAGGTAATATCATTGTGAATTTGCAGATAATATACCTAGCTAGCAGATTCAAGTGAATCAGAAATGACGAATAGATATTCGTGCAACACAATCTCAATTTACCTTCACATATTTTATGGTAAATAATAACAAAACCTATACTTTGTATTTTATGTGAGAGTGATATCGATCTCACTCTCACATAAAATACAATAATGCTTTCTACACTATCGATGAATTTTTCAAATTACAATAGTTTCAGTCATGAAAACATTACTCTTGTACCTAATTAGCTTAAGTTGAATTAGGTATATCAATATTGTGATACATATTTTCATTGATGCACTTTTTTATTCTATCAAAAAAATTACCTTGGTGGTTTTTGACAACAAGGTTCTGATTCTGAAGGTTTCTCGACATTCTTTTCAGTAACTTTTTCTCTTGACTTTGTGATTTTTTCCTTTCTTCTTGTTATTACTTTTTCTTTACTTTCTTCTTTTTCCTTTAGCGAATTGTTTATTTTGGAATGTTTCGATCCCGTTAATTCTTCATTTGATATCTCCTCAATGACTGGTTTTTCATCACTTTCCAATTTATTTTTCCCATCATCACTTGCCGACATGAGTTTACTCAGTTCTCTTTTGATTTTGTTGCTTTTCTTAAAAGCTTCAAGTTCGGCTGCTTTTTGCTCTCCATCTTTCGATTGCTTTTCAACAATTTTGTTTACATTGTTGTCATCTGAAGAAACTACTGGTGTTATGATAATTATATTGTCTGATGAATTGGCAATTTCACCGGGTCCGAATTTCACTATTAGCTCTTCGTTTGAGGAAATACCAGATGGCGTTCCCTCATCCGAATCACCCATATTTACCTAGAAAATAACAATAATGTTAGAAATAGTGCTGCAATGCTTTAGTATTTAACTTAAACCAAAGTGATGACCAGCAAAAAAAAAAAAAAATATGCTAAATATAGATTTCAGTTCTTTAAAGAGACATTTTTATCGACATTTAAATTATAATTTTATGGCAAGTGCCATAATAATTGCCAAGCTGTGATGTCATTTTCGTATTCTGCAAATTGCCTTCTCTCATTGCTCGAAATAGTATCAGGGCCGCATACGATATGTAAATCTCTATCATATTTATCCTGCTGGATTTAGTACAAAATATCCACGAGGACTGTAAAAAGTTAGTAAATCTGGCATGTTTAAATGACATGGAGGCAAACATTAGCAATTTGTATTTTTTCTAAAATATACAAGATAAAAGTAATACGTACTTACAAATTTGGGGCCCGTTTGAGCACTTCCGAATTTTTTTTATAATAGAAAAAAGTAAAAATGTGTACAGATTCAGTTGACAAAAAATATTAATCAAAATTGATGTTTGTTGGTGATTACCATTGTTTTTCCAACAATGATCAATGGCAACTATTTTCAGGTATTTGATTTACCTTTTGCATAAAAAGTCCTACATTGATATTTTTGTTGGTTCCGTGCTATCTTTTTAAAACATGCAACAAAGTGCGCACAAATTGCATCTTTATCTCACTCGGTGCAGCCAGTGCATTTCTAATCATAAGTGAGTTTTGATGTTCGTACAGAAATGTGACTCGTGTATTTTTATCACGTGTCGCTGGGACGCCACAACAAGTGAATGATCAGATAAGGCGCCTAAGATCTGCACAGGACCGTATGTATTTGTTCGTTGGATGTTAGGAGTAAACAGAATGGCGATTATTTAATCCCTTTATCATATTTCAAATTAAGATTAGGCATTCTAAATGTGAATGTGGTCATGTTTCTTCCACAGGGCGGATAGAATAAATTGCTAGGATACAGGGTTTCAAAAAATATACTGTCCCAGAACTAGCCACTTTAAGAAAAGTTTCCATAAACTTATGCTTTAAAGTGCGTATAGAAAGGTTCCACTCCTTCAAATTTGGGGTCAGGTATGTTGCTTTTCTTAATTTTTGGGAAAACACATGAATCAGTTTGTTGAAAATTTGGAGCTCAATGACCCAATGACACAAAATTGATTTTTTTTTGGAACAGGGTAGTTTTTGCAGACGAGTTATTTTTCGAATAACTCCTATGCCTCTGATATTTTTATGAGTTTATTCTTGATGATCGCGATATCAGGTACATATAAAAGTACTCCTAGTTTTCATCTTTAAAATGCACTGTTTCAAGAAATTGGAGCAAACTATGGCCGTCATCCTTTTTTTTTCTGATGAAGGACAGATTCCTTTTTTTTATCGATTCTGATAGCGGTGTTGTAGATGAGTGTAGTTCAAGGGGTACCTATATTGATTTGGTCAAATTCGCATTTATTGGGTAATTGATATTAGTGCTTCCACAATCCAAAAGGTATCATCTGAGGTTGATGCCAAAAAACGAGAATTCTTGCACTCACTTCATCTTCATCTTCTTCATGTATTGTCTGAATTTGGGAATACATATTTCCGATACAATGGAAATTATTAGCTCTGCGCAGAAATTACAAACCAGTCAGATTGAATTTCATTGGTTGAAACCAATGTTGAAACTAGGTTTCAGAACTGTTTCTGACTGTTTTCAACCAATGAAATTCACTCTGACTGGTTTGTGATTGCTGTGCGAACAGACCTATTGCATGCTTACCCTATGCATAAAACAGGTTATAGCAGCATACAAGTCTCTAATCTTCCAGCCATCCCCAAACTCTTTAAGCATTGTGTTGAAAACAACCTTACTTTCTGAGCAATAACTTCAGAGAGGCAATTCACAGCCAGCAGTCGAGAAGCTGATACCAATTTGTTTCTTTATTTTAATTATATCAGTAATTCTGTCGCTGATATTGCTGACACCCACGAAATCTAGGACCATGACTATGGTATCCCTGGTTCACTTTTGTCACGGATAGGTCCTATTTATCTGGTAGAGAGCTGCAGATTTTCTTGTTCAGAGGTTCAGTGTTATCTACGGGGTTCCCAAGGTTTCTACGGTTCTCACCTGGGTCCACTACTTATTTCTTTATTGATAACCTAGCTGAACTTTTGTCTGCTGATGATCTAAAGCTGTTTAAATAGATAGATATGAATTTCCCTCGGAATTTCCCATAACATGGTTGTCCTGCAGCACGACGTGGATATTGTTTCTGAAAATTTGAATACAAGTAGTCAATCATTATACCTGATACGAAAGAAAAATTACAAGAATGGTGTAACTACATTGACAATCTTTTTAGCGATAATCGGTCCGAACATCCGGAGAAATTCTCGAACCAAGGTATAGATATTATAAAAGAAAAAATTCAGCACGTAATATCTTTGGTTAAAACCAGAAAAGCGGTAGGGCAAGACGAAGTACACACGAGAGTTTTAAAACTTCCAAAGAACGAAGATTCGTTAAATGCGCTGGTCAAGCTATTCAACTTGATTTATCGCAGTGGTAAAATTCCAGTTGACTGGATGAAATCAACCTTTGTTACACTGCCTAAAAAGCACTCAGCAAAGAAGTGTAGTGATTACCGTTTAATCAGCCTAATGAGTCATATGTTGAAAATATTTTTAAAGATTATCGATAAAAGAATATACGGAGAGTGCAAATCGTTCATGAGAGACACACAGTTTGGATTTCGTGGCGGGTTTGGTACCTACTAGAGAGGCTTTATTTGATGTTCAGGTCTTGGTTCAACGTTCTAGGCATGTGTCAGTGCCACTATATGCCAGTTTCATAGATTATGAGAAGGCTTTTGATCGAATCCAACACAAAAAGCTCATAGAATATCTTAAAAAAGTGGGTCTAGACGATCGAGACCTAAATATAATTGCCAACCTATACTGGAACCAGACGGCTCAGATAAAGGTTGATGGCCAATTGTCCGAAGATGTTCGAATACGGAGATGTGTTCGCCAGGGTTGCATATTGTCTCTACTGTTGTTTAATATCTACAGTAATAAAATCATAGAGAACGCACTGCACAACTGCAAAGAGGGCTTGACTATAAATGGCATAGAAATCAACAACCTAAGATATGGCGATGACACAGTTATTATCGCAGATACACTGGAAGGTCTGCAGGAGCTCCTAAATAAAGTTGCAGGCGAAAGCTCGCAATTTGGACTTAACTTAAATGTAGGAAAAACAAAATGGATCGTTATAGCTAAAGAAAGGAACATTAGGGGCATATTAGAAGTCAATGGTCGACAAGTCGAACGCGTTAATTCTTACAAATACCTGGGTTGTCAGCTCAATGAAAACTTGGACAACATGCAAGAGGTCCAGGCCAGAATCGAACAGGCCAGATCGTCTTTCATTAAAATGAAGTCAGTGTTGTGTAGTCGCGATCTTAATAGCACTCTCCGAATTCATGTGCTTCGTGGTTATGTGTTTAGCATTATATCGAGGGGTATTTCACTCCCGAAAAAATGTACATGTATTGCGGAAATCCCTGGGATTTCTTTAATTTTTTGATGAATGCGGCGATTTCCTCGCAATCACTAAACGATTTTGGTGATTTCGATTTCTGAGAAATCCAAGTGACTGCAGCAATTTCCAGGAAATATTTCTAGTGATTTCTTTCCAATTTCTTAAGACTGCGGGATTTCTCTTCCACGATTTCCTCGCAGTCCACCTAGGATAAGTTACTGCGTAGGTACTACATAAGTACTTGTATTTTCATTTACTATGATAATAGGTCTGTTTCTGCAGAAATCACAAACCAGTCTGAGTGAATTTCATTGGTTGAAACTAGTTTTCTGACTGTTTTCAACCAATGAAATTCGCTCTGACCTCTGACTGGTTTGTGATTTCTACAGAAACAGACCTAATGAATCATGGGCGTACCTAGGGTTGCGAAGGTAAAATTACCGACGGTAAAATTACCAGTAACTTACGAAAAATTACGTAATATTACCCATATCTGGGTAAAATCGGTAAAATTGAACGTATAGTCGATAAAATCACGTTATTGGTCCTTGAATTATAAACACAGGTGTCGAAGCAGTAAAGACTTCAAAATTATTAGGGAAACCAAGGATGTGCGATTTAAATTTGTCTCTCTTTATTTTGAAAAATAGAAAGGGAAAGCAGTAAAGTTGAGAGTAAAGAATGTTGACAATCACAGACAATGCCCATGTTGATTTACGCGTTTGTCTCTCTGTCTCTGTATCAGAAAATAGACAATAATATCGATATTAATTATTAAAGAATATTAGAATATAATAAGTACAGTAGAACCCCAATTATCCGAGCTCTGAATTAATAGAGTCAATCTAAAGACCCTGATTATTCCAGGTGGGCGCGTCTATGCTCCGTATTAACCGAGCTTCTAAGATATACATAATACTAATACATATACATAATGTACCATCGTCACCAAAAGTAAAAAGCTGGGGAAGCATCATATTAGCTTTTGTACTATTATAAGATTTTTAATGTCAAACCATGAATAAAATAAATGATGGTGAAATTAGTCCAGGAGAATATTATGAATTATTTTTGTCCCAGATACTGTTGGTGACGATGGTACCGCAGAGGTTCACCCATAAGTAAATATGCTTTATTGTCCAATAATACAAAAATCTTATTGATAAAGCTAACCTAACTTAAATTAAATTCTACAACTAAACCTAGAAGCCAGCAAGTCAACAATATCTATCAAATTAAAACTAACGTAGGCAATACTTTACAAAAATAATAAATACATTCATTTAACACAACATTTCTTGACATAAGTTACAAAGACTAGTGAACACAACAACAACAAAAAAAACTTTATTCAATAGGTATGTCAGTCAAATTAAGATAAATTAGTAAATAGGTAAAATTTAAAACAATACAGAAATACACAATTTAAAAAAAAATACACAATATGTTAGGCTAGTGCTAGACACAGACAGAGATAAAAAACAAAATGTATGTCATAAAAAAAAATATATATAAACTAAAAAAAGTCCACAAAAGGTTGAATTTAAAATTGAGTAACTGTTGACGGAATAAGAGACAACTATTGGCTAAAAGAATAAAAATACTCATCGAGTGAATAGAAAGCTGGCTTCACCTCCCTTTAGGGTTTTGCGAAACTTGGAGATATCTGATATCGTTTTGAAATTTAAAGGCAGCTGATTATAGTAGGTCTTTATGCTATTATAAATTATTGAATTTTGCACCAAAGCTGAATGGGGTATCGGAAGAGGAATGTCATGCCTTTGACGAGTCAAGCAAGGTGTCTAATGAACAGGAAACATGGCAATGTTTTTGTGTATTAAACTCGCGGTCTCCAATATAAAAAGGCAGGGTAATGTTAAAATTTCATATCTGATAAAAAGCGGTCTACAGTGATCTCTGGTTCCGCAATAATCCACTTATTTGTACAGGGTGTTTTTTTACATATTGACACCCTACCTGCAGCCTTTATCTTTACAGGTAGAAAAAAGGTGTAAATACAAAATTTGTATAGTTTTGACTAAATTTTTAAAATCCATGGTCAGAAACAAAAATTGAATTTCAGAAATGTGAAATGTTGCATTCTTTCAGCTTTTTTCAAATGGGATGCCCTATATTTGGTTCCACACTCTTGAAGAGCACAATTTCCCGATTCCAAAAATATATAGTTTGTTTATATTTGGATGAGCAGTCTCTCATATATTCGGCTCCAAATATTGTAAAAATACTATCCTACTGTTGATTTTGTGAACCATTCTACCTGTACAGGTGAAAGCTGCAGATAAAATTTGAGGTAGGTACTTGGTTTCTCTGATAGTATTTTAAAAAATTTTAGAACAAAATATGTTGGAGCCGGCTCAACCAAATATAGACAAACTATATAGTTTTGGAATCGGGAAATTGTACTCTTCAAGAATATAGAACCAAATATAGGGCATTCCATTTGAAAAAAGCTGAAAGCATGCAACATTTCACATTTCTGACATTCAATTTTTGTTTCTGATCATGGATTCTAAAAATTTAGCCAATACTGTACAGCTTTTGTATTTACACCTTTCATTTACTTGTAAAGGTGGAGGCTGTAAGTGGGGTGTCAATATATAAAAAAACACCTTGTACATACATATTTCCATTATTTCCATTGAGGAATCCTCTTTGTCTGTTTGAGTGAATCCCCTATTTATGTTTTTGGACATTTTTCACTCTTCTAGCATAAAAATTTACGTTAATCCGGATTTTAGCAGTGATGCCAACTCTAGGGATTTGTGCCTAGTTCTAGGGATAAATATGCAAAAAAAAATTGTCTAGGGATATAGGGAAATTCTAGGGGGTTTTCTGATATTTTTAATTTTTCTTATACAATTTAATAAATTATAAAAAAATAAATATATATTATACAATATTATATATTTTTTAAAAAAAAAGTGACCTCATTATTGGTTCGTCTGAGTAATCACATACAGCATACAACAGTAAGATTTTTGTATGTTGTGAAGTGCTTTTAACCTTTCGTGTAACGTGATGTGTGTGGGGATTCCCGCAACAATCGCGTCGAATCAGAAGACAGTTGTTAACAGTCTGTCGTCACTAACTTAAGAACAATTCTCGGATGGTCTAGAACGGTTCTCTCAGTTCTTGCTCTGAAGAAGGAACTGTTTTAGGATTTTGTGATTTGCGGCATGTTCTGGTTGGAATCGGTTCAGAACTACATGGTATTTAAACATTCCTCAATTATTTTTTGTGCGCAAACAGTTCTGCGCAATCCCACAACAAATTAGTTTTGAAAATATAATTTTTTTTCTTGTAAATTGCAAGTATAAATCACATATTACAATTATTATTTGGACTGTTATAATAATTCTAAAATGAATTTGAAAAAAATAAATTCTAGGGAGTTCTAGGGACATTTTTTTTCAAATCTAGGTATTTCCACATCCCATCAGTTGGCAACACTGGTTTTTAGTAACCTGCGAAGGGTGCTCCGTGCCCCCACGTTACCTCGGATAACCGGAGTTCTACTGTAATATATTTCAAATTTTGATTTTACACAAGCACAAGAATGTTTAATTTATTTCTTAAAAAGATTATCTTACCACCATCAGTACGTATTCTACAATTAAAATCAACGTTGCATATTGCATCATTGTAGCATCACCAAGTTATTATTTTTCAATTTTACCAATTTTACCGATAGTAATAGGTAAAATTACCTACCGGTAATTTTACCGAAATTTATTTTACCGGTAATATTGCAACTCTAGGCGTATTAGGGGGGGGGAGGCAGACCAATAAAAAAAAAATATATTTTTTTTTCATTTCTATTAGTTATTAATAACCACATTATCTTCCTATAAGTAGCAAGTTTTAATTTTTGAATGCTATACAGGGTGATTCAAATGCGATGCTCTTTATAGTCCATTGGGGTCGGGTCACGGAATCGGTAAGGGATACGAGGTCTGTTGAATAAAAACAACATTTGTGTCGGCCTCGAATCTCTGACCGTTTCTGAGATCCCAAATCACCCTGTATATAATATTTTCCCTATTTCAAGTATGGGATTTTATATTTAGGATAAAAGTCTAGCGTCTAGGCAGCCCCCACTGCCCCCTACCGGGTACGCCCTTGTAATAAATACTTGTGCTTCAAAAAATACTTAGACAATAAGAAACCATACACTGGAGAGTAAATAATTTTGTTCCATGTGGAATTTGCGAGGGAATTTGTTTGCACTAATATATTTCATATTAGTGTCATGAATGATTGAAAACAAACTTTAAAAAAATAAACTTTTTTAACCGTAGGTAGGTAAAGTGCGACAACTGAGTGAACCTGTGTGAAAGGAATGCAGGCAAAACCTTCCTGATTGGCCCGAGATTAAATATACATAAATACGGGGGTCGTCGTGTCAGGGTAAACGCAATTTTCAAAATGCATCACGTCGGGGACCCGCACTTTATATTGAAATCGATTCAGTTTTATCATATTTGCTTTTATAACCAAGTTTATAACCATTAACCAATAGTTTTTTTCTTTTAAAACTGCAAATATTTTCATTTCTTCCTCTACGTCCATCACATCTTCAGGATTTAGCAAGAGATCTGGAATTTGTGCTTCAGCTGCGTTATCCACAAATTTCTTTTTTAAAAAACTGCAAGGATCGATTTCAACGGTTAGCCGGTGTGACATCACAAGCTCCCGCATAATATCTTCATAATGGATTTTCTCTTAAACTATGTTAAGTATAGGAGTGCGGTTTTCACGCGAGATCTTAGATTTTTTTCTTGATTCAAGTAGCTTAAGTTGTTTTTTTGGGTCATAGCTCCTTTAAGTGCATTTGTTGCATGCATACAATTATTGATAATATTCACTTCCCACTTTATTCTTGAGTTAATTGCAGTTTTTGTGTAGTTTTATATTGCCTTACTACTTTTTTATTCTACTTAGTGTTTAGCGTGAAGTAAAAAAATGCGCTCCAGCAAGGAGTTGGATTTTCATTGATTATTTCATTCATTATAAAATAGACCCATCAGACAACGTCATTTTTTGAATGAATTTTGTTTAAATAAGTGATTATTTCACAAGACCTTGTTTATCAGCGATTAAATTTTTGTTTACCTTTTTTGACAGAACTTTGATAGAAATATTCTGACATTTTATAATAATTAGAACTCTGTGGATAGGATTGACGCCAACAATTCAATCCTAATTATTCAGGAAATAATCTAGCCGTATACCACTCGACCTATAAAGGACCCCGCACAAAACTTACGGAAAATGTGTTTATGTCAAATCGTCTGATTTTTTGATAGTGTGTCAAGCTCGATGTCCTGAATAAAAGTTATCATTGCGCCAAAGCCCAATAATGAACAGTTTTTGAAATAAACGCCCTTTTGTACTCTCACAAATATAGGTAAATCTTATAGACAATGACATCAAAAACTTAATTACCTACAGGTGAAAAATGCGCTGATAAGTGGAATCAAAAAACTATTGCTTTGGATCTTCCAGGAGAATGCCTTGGACTAGCAAAAAAACACTATTTCATTGGTAGTACAATTTTTGTTTATATGAGTATCTTCAATAATCAAAATGGAAAAATGGAGCTGACTTACTTTGTTTTTGAGTATTATTACTATGGCTGATGTCGATTTCCAACATCCATAACCGTTTCTAGTAGGATTTTTGAGGGATAGTGCACATTGGGTTGATGTTGCGCAAAACCCAAATACCATAACAAACTTGCAATATGGCTACAACCCAATGTCCTTGCACCAGATTTGCAAGTGCAGTAATGTCCCAAAATTGCTTCTTCCACTTGTTCAGGATGTTGCTGTAGTTCCTGAATGGTTCTATAAGTAATCCATATTTGGTACTTAGTAGCATTTTTGAAGCGGGAGTAAATTCGAGCCCGAATAAATCCCGGTTCTGGGTCGAGCTGGTCTACCTGCAATTCATCATCGCCATCTCGTCGCAATTTTTCTTGTATATACGACTGCGCTAGGGTTACTTGGTACACACCAAATGTGAAATCTTTCAAATACTCAATGTTCAATTGCGGAAAGTCCACTAATTGTCCGTCATTCAGCCGTTCCCAAGTAGCATTACTCGCTTGCAGACCAAATTGCTCAACCTCACCGGCTTTTTCCAACATGGATTGAGCCAGCTCAGCATTGCAGCCATTCATTTCTATAAGGGCATGGTACCTATCAATTATAGCTCCCGCAATCCGGTAAAAGGCTTATTGTTTGGCTGAAAAACTTGAACACGCTTTTAATGTGTCCATTTCGCGCTTCTACAATCCAGCGGGTTTTGGTAACCAACCGGGATTCATCTGCATCCTCAGTAGACAACTGGCGTTGTCCACGCTCCACACCACGAGGCATACGATATTGGATGCCAAGCGCGTGTAATAGTGGGATTGAATCCCTATACCCTCTATCAAGCACAATAATGTCGCCGTTCTGGAACCATTCCCTCATGTTTTCGGCATCACGTTCAAACTCATTTCGTAGGACAGCCGCATCATTATTTCGCGAGTCGGCAAAATAGGGACCTTGTATTGCCAGAATATACCCGTCTGGTGCTACTATCAGTGTAGGTTTCACAAGATGACGACCTTTGTGAATCGAAAACGTTTGCCGCAGGGTCTGGAAGTTGGAGCTTTTAGGAACATAAGGAATACGTGCCATCAATATATGCAATAACTCTCGAGGTGCCCGGATTCTCATTGTAAAGTATATTCGCAAAGGGAGGTACATGAGTTTCAATAAATGCGGCGCGATCAATTTCTGTAAAACCGATATTTTGAGGTACAAATCTTTGTAATAGAGATTGCCTCACGGTTGCTATCGCGAGACTTGCAGTTTGACGGCTTCTGTAATTGAAAATAGCCTTAACGAAACTATCCGACAATCCCTGTCGCATTTTGCACAAAAAGGCCAGTAGATCTTTTCTGGAAACATATCTATAACCATTCTCTATCGGTATAGGATCGCAAAGATCATATAAACTTCTAAACTGAACTTTCGTGATGCTTTCAAAGTCTGCATCAGAAAAATAATCTTCGCTATCAATTTTGGTGTATTTCTCAAGTGTTTCAAAAACTTTTGCAACTCTCGACCTGGAATTATGTAGGGCCTGTTTACAAATCTCAAACCTGGCAGAAGTCGTTGCAGAAGAAAACCGTTTCCGACCAAATGGTGAGCACAACTTTTGACATATTCTGGAACATATAATAATATCTCCCTATTAAGGAAGATATTCACCCTGGCCTCGGTAGATAATCAGGGTTCATTTGGTGAGTTGCAAATCAGACACGAATGGCTTGAACTTTACGTCAAAATATTGAGCCGCAAACAAGCGGGATCTCGCTGAAGAGCATTTATTTCCCTAATAATGGATCTGTTGCAGCTGGACAAATTCTTGTGAGTTCATTGATTTCTATAATAGGCCTGATGTTTGCTAGACGCCTTTGTTGAGCTGTGGCACACTTATCGGCATTTTCATCTCCAACAAGACGCACCATTAATCTGGAAGGAAGTGCTGCAGGACATATGAAACAGTGCAATATATTCCTCATTGCCATGATCAAAAAGACTTTATGAATCGGAAGAAAAATGGATCAAACTATAAAACAATTTACGATTGCGGAACTGTACGGTTGATGTAAGGTTGATGTTGAGTTGTGCAAGTAAAAGTTTAAGTGTGGGGAAACTTTTGAACTTTTGGGAATTCACCTATCTATTTTTACCTGTCAAACGCTGTCAATACAGTTCAATTCCGATTCTAAAAAAATGAAAACGCTTCAGCGCATTTTTCACCTGTAGGCAATTAATTTTTTGATGTCATTGAGTCATATTTACCTATATTTATGAGAGTACAAAAGGGCGTTTATTTCAAAAACTGTTCATTATTGGGCTTTGGCGCAATGATAACTTTTATTCAAGTCATCGAGCTTGACACACTATCAAAAAATCAGACGATTTGACATAAACACATTTTCCGTAAGGTTTGTGCGGGGTCCTTTAAATGGATTACTCTATCCAAATATTTTTTGCAATATTTTGCTTTTTGGCAAATAGTGTCATGCGGTAGCGACTTCTGCGATTGCGAAGAGATCTTGGTGAATTATGTACATGTATTTCGGGAGTGAAACACCCTTCGCATTATATATTACGGTGTAGAGACATGGACATTAGCTGATGCCATGAGCAAAAAACTGGAAGCATTTGAGATGTGGTCGAGGATGTGGTGCTATCATAGAATGCTCAGAATATCTTGGATGGACAGAGTACGTGACGCGGATGTTCTTCTTAGAACAGATAAGGAGCTTGAAGTTTTACTCACCATCAAAAAACGTAAACTTGAATATTTTGGACACATTTTAAGAAATCACAAATATGAACTCCTTAAACTGAAAATAGAGGAAAAAATTTAAGGAAAAAGAGGTCCAGGCCGTAGACGAATATCATGGCTAAAAAATCTCAGACAATGGTATGGTGTTTTTCAGAAAAGCAGTGGACAAGGTGGAAATAGCGCTGATAACATGGTACTTGAAGAAGAATAATTATTCTAGATTGTTTGGTTATTCTTGTAGGACAATAATTTATGAGGGATTCTAGTCCAAATGAATTAAGCAAATATTTTAGATCTCCAGCATTATCATAGAAAATTACCCAAAAATCAACATTTAAATCGCCACACAATAGTATTATTCTAGCCTTGACTGACAAGGCAAATAATGAGGTGACTGAATCATATTTTGGTTGAGCTCTTGGAATCCAGCAAGATCATCTTTTGCCGTCTGAAGTTCATAATCGGCTTCGACTTTATTATCCCAAAGCATGACATTTTCTTCCATTAGCTCTGATAATTCAGAAAAAAAAAACATCATTTTGGGATTCAACGGTAATAACGCTGTATTCAGTGGTATTGCCGATGACGACCCTCTTATATTTGAAGTCTGTGATTCTCTATTATGTCCTAAATTCGGCTCCAATATAGTATGTTTCTTATTCTCGAGAAATGTTTCCCTATATGATTTAGGGCGGGTATTATAAAACTACTTTGAGAGTTAACTTAAAGTTAACTTCTGGAATTACATGTAATTCAAAAAGTTAACTTTAAGTTAACTGTCAAAGCAGTTTTAATCGCAGATCGCCACTACCAATAAAAAACCGAGTGGAAAACATTTCGACTCCCCAGTCTCCTAAAGAATCAACAAAAACTTAACTATAAATTTGACCTTTAAATCACAACATCGTCCATAAATTTTTCTTTATTAGAGTCCATTCCTGTCGCTCGAGTTGAATAGGTCTACGCTTAGCCACTTTTTATGTCTAAGGTTATGTATTTAGTACCACCACTCAGCCCAGCAGGCGACACAACGACGCACACTCTACTTTTATCCTTATAATAATAGTACTGGCTCGCCTCGCCTTCGAACACATGTTTTTAGTTTTCTTTAGAAAACGATCCACTGTAAACAAAATTAAAGTTTACGAGCTGGAATTTTTACGGCGGTTTTGTAATTAATATTTAATTGCAGGTTTCAGTAGTAGATAGTTTTTCTTGTGTGTGTGGGTTATTTGTTATTTGGACCTAATTTTTTTGGAATGCGGCCAAATTCCGGAATTTTAGTGAATAGTTTCTTACTGTTAAGTTTAAAATCAAAGACCTTTAAGGGGCTTATCCAAAAAATCAGTAGTGGCTACATCCCATTTGTCAAGGCGAACAGGTAAACTGATGATCCTTTTTTCTAATTTACAAATTATGTAGTTGTTATGATATACCCTTTTCAAGACATCTTAGTTTTAAGAGTACCTTTGTATAACAAATTTTTCAACCGCTCGCTTAATATTTATTTGAGGAAATGATATTTTCTTTACTATATACATATATATGATTATGTTTTCCATTTGGCCTTATAACTAATCTACATCTTGGTATTTAATTTTCAAATAATTATTTTATAATTAGAATTTAGTACCCGAGTAATTTAACACTATGTAGTATAGTCTAGGTCTATTAACGATCTTTGAAATCACAGTTATTTATTGCTTTCCCACCTGAATACGTAAATAGAGTATTAAAAACCCTTCATCATTACAAAAAGAACTAAAATTAATCCTGCCCAATTCTTACAGAAACATTTTTCCATGACTCAAGACACAAATTTTAGGAATTAATGATAAATGCATTAAAATGTTCAATAAACCATTCTAGTTTTTACCCCCTACAGCCGATAGCAAGAGGCAAATAAACTTTGCTCCAATTATCCGTTAGATTACATTTTACAAAAGTTGGGACAAAGAAGAAAATTATAGTAATTTGAATGAATAGTTGTCAGCTTTACTGTTTTTTCAAATACATACAACTTTTCTCATTCTAAACAAATTTAGCTTTTCCAGTTTATCTATTATAGGTCATAATTGAGGTCATAATAATCGCATCCACAAAAATAGCCCAATGACTAACCTAACTTATAATAACACACATTTAATGATTAGTCAAAAATACCTATTTAGACTTTCAGAGACAAATGGAATTACAATTAAATTACCCATGGCCATGGGATTATCATTATTGCAAGTTAATTCTAGACCTGGAAAACTAAGCTTAATTACTTATAATTACCCGGCAAAATTGTTATACTATGATGTATATAAGTAGAGTTCGCCTTTCATTAAATAATAATATAATTTTTCTCGTTTTTCCTCTATACAATCAAAAAAAAAAAATTACTTGATTTGAATAATAAATCCATTAGAGTACTTATTTTACCCAATCTGAGCACCTGTTCTTAGTGAGGCCACTGGCACAGGAAGTATGACATATTAATTTTTATTTCACGCCTGGAGGCGTCATAGCATCATCACTTATTTGCATATTTGCCCTAATACGCCACACGCCCATACATAACTTTTAATAATTTTTCATGTCAGATTCAAATAGGATGGAATGTTGTTAAAATAATTAGTGGATTATTGTTTTAACATTTAATTTTATGCGCATTGTTGCTATTTTTGGTGCGTAGTGGTTTTTTGTATGCAAAATGTGTTATTGTATGTTGTTGACAACAACGCTTATTGTATTAATCATTATGGTGACTATGCTGATGAAATCAGAAATATATAAGGGAAAAATCATCAAAATAAGACTTATCATTAAAGTGACTTGCTTACAAGTTACAGCACTTTAATTTTTTTATGATTCATATTCGCCCATCTGACGTCAAGAAAACCGATAATAATATGTGGTTTTACTGTTTAATTTTCTTTGTATCAACTAAAACCACAATGCTATACATATCGAATTTATCAATAGTAGAAATAACTTTTAAACTAAAATTTTTATAATTTAGCAATTATCACTCTGGTTCAGTATTTCCCTCGGTATTTCCATTAAGTATACCTACATTTTCAGGTATGTTTATCACAAAAACTAAACCTCATGATTAATTAACAAACCAGTTTTTGAAATCTACATGTACCAACAGCATCAAACACCAATAAAATGTTCCATTGCAGGCCTATGAATAAACTTAAACACCTACTTTCTGGAAAAAACTATCCAATTTTTTGTTTCTTGCTTTAAAAATCCTGGTAATCAACTTTTTTCAAGGATATATTTATAGATGAACATGGGCTATTTATCCCAAAATCGCAAAAGTAGCAGAGTCTTGTTTATCTGTTTTATGTGGTTTTCTGTCATCCAGAATCAATTTTTTTACAAAAACAATTTTTTTTATTCTCAAATAGTGAAAGGTATAGCTAGTAGCTCTATACCTCGGTACATTAAAAAATGCATCGATTCATATATTATTGATAGTTTATCAAAGTATCTAACTGTTGAAAGAAATTCCCCAGTGCACTCTCTCAAAAATCTAAATATATTTTTATCTTTTGTCCACAAATGTCGGTATAATGCTATAAATTCCCTCCCCAAAATAGCCCAGATAAACTTACACTTTAGTATGCAGGGAGTAAATAAAACGATTTATTTGCATACCAAACAAGCATCACTTGACACCTTTTATATAGACTTTATTCTACTTAAGTTTGTTTGGGTTTGTGGTTAAAGTGCAACTGGTAATTTTAGATTTGTACGATTACTGGATTTTTAACAAGCAATTTCCTTATTTCAGAGACTGAAGCATCCCCACAAACCCCAAATTCATCCCCCCTAGCAGGTCCGGGACCTGGAGGACACAAGCCTTCGTTCAAGAACAATAAACTAGCACGCAGAGCTCGCTCTTTTAAGGACGATTTTCTTGGTAACAATTTTACTTGAAAGCTAAAAACAAAATACCTATAATATGAATCCTTATACTTAGGCAAAATATCTCAAATGAGGAGTCCAGGTTCATCAAGCACGCTCGGACAAAGGGCCCAAAGCCCTAAGGGACTTGTCAAGGGATCTCCGATAGCTTCAGAAAAATGCACAGAAGGGAAGGGGCCAATTCAAGAACTAGAATCGTGGAAGAAACAAACGGAATTAGCTTTAAAACATTTGAGGTACAATGTCTATACTCTTATAACAAATTTGTTAACAATTCATTGTAGGGATGTTGTAACAAAAAACAAACTGGAAATGTTGCCAGGAAATGGAACAATAATCTTGGACACTATATGGTCAATAAATTTATCAATAAAATCATCGGTGAACAACGATAAGAGCAGTACCCTAGCCTCGGCGACGAATAGAGTTTACCAATCTGTAGCAAGGTAAAACTACTGATCACAACAATTGATCAATCGATTGATTTTCATTATTTTCTAGACTGATTAAATTGTGTGATGACGCTCTTTTAGACGACCAAAGTTCAGAATTAAAAAAGGAAAACGTTAATGAAATTGTAGCACAAGTTGAAGATGCAGTTAAGGTGTGGTACTTCATATTTTAAAAATTCCAAAAATAATTTTGTTTTTATCTTACAGAATCTAATAGAATTAGCGCAAGAAAAAATCAATCAGCAACAGTTGACAGCATATAAAACAACACCTAGGACGTCATTTACTAATTGCAATTTGGAAACGCAGTCACAACGAAATTCACTACCAGGTAAAATTTAGATTTGTGTAAACATAATGGGTACATATTAAAATTTCTTAGATATACCATTAACACCAAGGGAAAGGGAAATTTTAGCACAAACCTCAAATATACCTATAAGAAATAGTCACAGCACAGAAAGTATTTTAAGAGACCCAGAAAGTCCACCTCCAAAACCACCTTTACCTGTCCAGTAAGTAGATTTTTGCCTTATTCCAGTAGATGTTAACAAAAAATTTGATCTCTGGTAATAATTTATAGTTTAAGGAACAAGTCAGACTCTAGCAGTTGTGTTACTCCTCCACCTTTACCACCAAAGAAAAAGAACCAAAGGCAACAACATGTTACTGATAACGATTGCCAGAGTGTTGACAGTTCGCCAATATGTAGTAGCTTGGAAAGGTAAATTAATATCTCACAAAAATTTTTGGTTAACGTGATATTTTCATAGGGTGTCCATAAGATCAAAATCCCCAGAAGGCTCTATATCATTACTCTCAGAAGGCACTGGCAGTATTGATTCAATGCTGAACCAATCATCCAAGGAAGAAGATGAAATTAAAGTTTTGATGGAGTGCGACCAGGATATGTTGTTGGATAATCATACAACTGATATTTTTGGAATAGGTATTAATTAACAAAAAATATTATAATGTAACTGTTATTTAAAATAAATCATTTAGGTTCTAATTCTTGGGAGGAATCCTCACTAAGTTCTGGAATTTCAAATCATCATCTGGATTTGCATACGTCAGTCAATGATTATCATCGATTATCGAACACTGACTCTGGAATAGTGTCTATAAGGTCGTCGAGTTATTCAAAGAGGAGTTCGCAACAGAGTTCTGTGAGGTAAACATTTTATTATAAACATTATCAGCATTAAGTTTGAACTGGTTCGAGCAACGAATTGGCTGCTCTCTCTATTGCCGAGTCTGTATTGGTCACCAGAGACCTTGAATATTTTGCTCTTATTGGGATTGTTGTAGGAACGAAATAAATTACGGAATTTCAATTTAATCTAGATATTTGCTTAGCTATTTAGAGTATCTCAAATGTCAAACAAATTAATCTCATTTGGTTTATGAGATTACAATAATATGCTTTAAATTTGGTCTACCAGAGCATTATTACAGAGGAATTACCGAGGTTTAAGAAAGCTACATTTTAAGTATTAAGTACAGATATATTTATCTTCTTAAGAATTTTGTTATTTAAAGGTGATAAAATGAAAGTTAAAAACTAGTAAAGTGTATTAGTGCATAGTATGTGAGCGCAAGGAAAATCCAAATTAATCAAATTGTGATCTTTGGAATTGAAAAAAAAACACAAAACTTGCTTATCTGTTTACATATTTCTGTAACGTATGTAATATAAATAACCATTGCATTAAAGTGTTGCTAAGTTTTAAAAAAATATGCAACACCAAAAACCGGCAGCAACATGAGTGGTAATACGAAAAAATGTCTGTGTGAAAAATGTGAAACCAACATTACAAAGAGGCAATTTTTTATCCAATGCGATAAATGCAAAGGCTGGTTTCACCAGAAATGTACAGAAATTGACCTTAAAGTTGTTGAACAGCTAAACAATAAATGGCTGTGTGACAAGTGCACAGCTCATACGAAAAATGAGATAAGAAGATCACTTGACCCCTCGCAAAGCTCAAGCAGGCAGCAATTGGTAGGTGCAAGCGCTAAAAATAACTCCTCAAACGATGATATTAAGGTCTATCTCAATGAAATAAGGTCAAGGCTCATGGCTGAAATACGTGATTTAAAAAATGACTTGAAGTTTTACTCGGACCAATACGACATACAGAGAGCTGAAAATATAACTTTCAATGAAGAAATAAAATATCTAAGAAGAGAAAATACTGAGATAGAGGGGGAGTTACAAAAGCTCAAGCGCCTATATGAATCTCACGGGCAGGAACAGAGACCATACAATATTGTACTGGTAGGCTTGCGAGCAGCATTGCTAAGGACGTGAAAAAGAATCCCAATGAATTGAAAAAGAAAGCAGAAAAAGTACTAAAATATACAGTGTGTCCGAAATTCGAGTCTCTACATGGGGATTTCGCTTATTCTGAGAGATACAGGGTGGCTCAAATTAGGGAAGTTTTAGGGAATTTATTGCTCATTTATATCCTGTTGTTAAATTTACTTCAAAGTTTTCTGTTTCCTAGAAATCCGAGAAAAACTGAAAATAGCCAATTTTGTTTTTTGTCAATAATTCATAAACCGTTAACTTTAGACTTTTCTAACTTTAACATTATTGTTGGCGTAATGGTTGATATTTTAGAATCACCTTCGGAGTTACGTGGACTGTAAGCGCAACTAATGAATATGTAGCAAAAAATAACCATACAAAAGACAATATGATAAAAGGCGCCTTACCTGTGGTGGTTCTGGGGTTCTTCTAGTTCAAAGTTAATTGTTTTGTTTCGGTTGCACAACACTACCGGCTTTTATTTCGAAACCGGTAACCGGCGAGCTCGCGATATTCAGCGACTTTCTTGTGCGCGAAAACGGATTAAAAAATGTGTGTTCGTGTTTCGTGTTTGGCGAAAAGAGAGAGAGTGTGTTTCGCCGTCGCTTGGCTGTACGAATCAAGTGTTTTTCGTACCTTTTTTGTCGACCTCGGTTCCATACCGAGGGCGCTGTTGTTCCCTGCATAGGAGGCGCTATACCTATTTGAATTTGTATGGTTTTTCAATATGAGCAAAATTCGTGACTTTGACACTCTTGAAGAGATGCACATACAATTATTAAGACACTTTTTTGAGATGGATATTTTCGTGATTTGAAAACATTCCGATCGTCGTTTGTTTTTGAGTTATTAACCAAAACTTTCTTATTTCTTATGGCGGCCGTCTTCGATTTCAACAAAATAATATTCTGCGAAAAAAATCCTCTAAAATGGATGTATTACAAGCTATGAAAATGTTTTGCAAGTCCTTCAAAATTAGAGTTGGAACCGATATTTTGCTAAATTTGGCAACAATGCTCATAGTTATAAGCATAAAACCAAATAAGTATGATTTAATACCTAGAATCGGTATTTTTGAAGTCTTCTGGCCATTTTACTGGATAAAGAAAAAATAAGTAGGTATTCCACATGTTTTTTTTGTAATGTAAACAACACGATTTACAGCTTTTCCTCCTTTCTTCTTTCGGTTTTACGCCTCGGGAAAAATTATACCAATTTGGATATTCCAGATACAATTCGTGTTTTTGCGTGAAGGACGAATTTTCACTCTCAGTTTTTCGGTCTTTGAGAGTCTATTCGACCTTGTATTATTATTTTAATAAAATATTCTTTAATTCGAGTTTTATTTTATCGAGACAATAATATTACGATAGGTCGCTTTTTTGGCTTCTTTATCTGTGACGTGGACTGATAGTCCTATCAGTCCACGTTGGTATAATTTTTCCCGAGGCGTAAAACCGAAAGAAGAAAGGAGGAAAAGCTGTTCATGTTGTTTACATTACAAAAAAAAAACATGTGGAATACCATACCTACTTATTTTTTCTTTATCCAGTAAAATTGCCAGAAGACTTCAAAAATACCGATTCTAGGTATCAAATCATACTTATTTGGTTTTATTCTTATAACTATGAGCATTGTTGCCAAATTTAGCAAAATATCGGTTCCAACTCTAATTTTGAAGGACTTGCAAAACATTTTCATAGCTTGTAATACATCATTTTAGAGGATTTTTTTCGCAGAATATTATTTTGTTGAAATCGAAGATGGCCGCCATAAGAAATAAAAAAGTTTTGGTTAATAACTCGAAAACAAACGACGATCGGAATGTTTTCAAATCACGAAAATATCCGTCTCAAAAAAGTTTCTCAATAATGTAAAAGTTAGAAAAATCTAAAGTTAACGGTTTATGAATTATTGACAAAAAAAAAATTGGCTATTTTCAGTTTTTCTCGGATTTCTAGGAAACAGAAAACTTTGAGGCAAATTTAACAACATGATATAAATGAGCAATAAATTCCCTAAAACTTTCCTAATTTGAGCCACCCTGTATCTCTCATAATAAGCGTAATCCCCATGTAGAGACTCGAATTTCGGACACACTGTATAAAAAGCAACTTGGACCTAAGTGATGTTAAAATAAATATTATAAATTGCAACAAAAACAATATGCCAATCATGATTTCTTGTAAAACTACAGAAATGAAGGAGAAAATTATGGACAAAAGAAAAGCCATAGGAAAAATTACAAGCGCTAGTTGTGGCCCCTCTGGTACAGGGTGATCTATTATAAATGTCACCCCCTGATTACTTTTTCATTTGACGTTTTTGACAGAAATGTCAAATACAAAAGTTTTAAGAAATTGTCAAAAGTTTTTAACTAAGTCAGTTTTAGACATACAGGGTGCGTCAAAAAGGTACAGCAGTGTAAAGTTATATTTTTTTAAATGGAACACCCTGTATATTGTGCGCCTATTTGTTAGTCCCGTTTAACGTGATTTCAACGATATATGATTTGATATGTTTATCTTTCGGTTTATCTTCAATAGTAATAGGGAAAAAACGCGAAAATCCCTTCCTATAGGTCTCATGTAATTTAAATAATACTAATAATAACTTAAACATCTGGATTTATTATAATATTTCACCTTGTATATTAATAAATAAAATTTGAACATCAAACTGTTTATAAAAAAAAAATTCTAAAGCCTAAATGGTATAATTTTTCAATGTGAAACCTTGAAAGGGGTTTTCAACTTTCACATTTAACATTTCTGGGTATCTCTTAACACATTCACAGATAGTGGAAAATTTGTGGGGGACCTCAGAAACACACACCTGTAACTTCTAAACGGTTCGATAGATTTTTATGAAATTTTAACAGTAGTATTTGTGTATGATTGTAAATAGATTCGTGTAAAGAAAATGCACTACTGCTATAGAATTTCTGTCCCCCCGCCTACATTTTTTGAACACGGTGGGACAGCGAACTGCTACAGCAGTAGTAGAAGTACTGCTGTAGCAGTAAACAAATAAAACAAAAACTGAAAACTTTTTTATTTGCATATAATTACAAAGTGAATAAAGTACTTGGAAAAAATGAAGGTCTATAATATCCTACTAATCAATAATATCATTTTTTGAAACTACTTTCCTCACTATAGTCACTGGGAACTTCATCATAATATTGTAGGAGTTTCTTTTCCTCCTTTGAATGCATTCCTAACTATAAAGGGTAAGGTCCTCCCACTTAAATCACAACATTATGATGAATACCCCGCCTTTTTTTGGTGTAAGGTGACAGTGCCCAAATTTCGACGTATATGCCATGGGACAGTAAGGTGTAAACTAGCATGTACGGTAATGAAAAATCCTACTGCTATAGCAGATGCGTACATTTAAAGGCGACCTATTGCTACTGCTATGGCAGTAATGCCCCAGTAGATCAATTGAAATTTACTGCTATGGCAGTTGCGTCCTTCAACGTGTGAAACAGGTGAGATAGGTGTGGGTGCAAAATATAGACAATCACCCGGTACTGCTTGAGGATCAGCAATAAATTTCCATCAATTAAAAGAAAATTTTGATACGATATATATATATATATATATATTTTTTATGTTTCAGTGCCCAATTTTCCTCAACGCGTCCTTCAGCCGAAAACATCCCGGACAGTCCGTCAACTGTAGTGAAAAATTTCAGCCAAAAATCATCAAGTTCCAGTTCGACATTGGTTGTATCAAATAGTACTCATTCCATTGTATCAGGGCGGCAACAGGGCTACGAAATGGCAACATCTGAACTGCCGCCCGCCATTCCTCAAAAGACTAAACGAAAGACTGAACACAGGCAGCCTAGTCCCTATGATAATGTGCCAGAATTTGATCATTCATTGGGTATGAATAGTTTCATTAATACAAGTTGAGAAAGTTAAACAAATGTGAATTTTGAAGAAGTTGATATTACATTGATTACTTACTAGGTTTTTGAAAGTCTCTTATTTATCTCTAGATGATAATTTGCAAGCTGAAGTCCTAGTAAGTTGCCACCACCATCAGCAAAACCACAGCCACGTTACCAGTATTATTTCAAACAATTCCTCTAACATGAATTCTGGCTCCGATGAGCTGGACGATGTGAAACCTCCACCGTTACCACCTAAAAAGAAGCACAGTAAGTAGAAATTAAAAAAATAATTATATCAAGTTGGTAATTATTAAGTTCAAATATTTTCTGAAAGTGTTGAGAATATTTAATACTTACCCACTTTTCCATGTAGTAACTCGTAAACTGTTGGTTGTTGGCAAAAATGTTTTTCCAAACTTTGACGTAAAAATGACATAGTTGTTATTTTAAACAACTGATGAACTGGACGGTAGCGTTATAAAAAACGAGACTTCAATATAAGAAAATTTTTACATGAAATTTTGGTGTATCTACTTCTCGGTCTAATAATAACTCTTGCGTGAAAAAAGTTGGGAATCAGAATTTTATAAACTGTCATTTTGCAGTGTCTCGCATCGCTTGTTACACAAAATATTTGTCTTCAACTAGCAAATTTTAAAATTATTATTGAATTATTCTCTGCAAAATTATTGTGGTTTTGCCATCAACAATATCGTACGCATTGTGGCCAATAATCTAATACGCCGCTATTTTGTCCTACTATAGTGTTCCAGTCGGTGGCTTACAGCGGTGAGTGACTTGTATCAGCAAAAGCCAAAACTTAACATTTTTTTAGCTGCTTCTATGTATTTTGTTCCCCTATTTTTTACTATACCACATTTTCAGTCCCGTTTTTATTAATCACCTGTTTGTTTGTTAACACACAACCTGTGACATGATTTACTAATAACAATGTATGTATGTTTTATAGTTTGCTTTCAATATGTCGCGTTATTTATTTATTTTTTTCGGCAATAATCCCAAAAACAGTTTTTCTTTTCAAATTTTTAGGTTCGGGCATGGATTTCGTAGGAATTTCTTTGTTTCTTTTAAAACTTGTAGGTAAATATTTTTCAATTAATAAATCATGTCACAAATTAGGTGTTAAAGCCACAAGTGTTAGATTCGACTTTTCTTTTTTGTAAGTATTGTCAAAATATCTCTCAGTAAAACGACTCTAACTTACATCCAAAATGACTATTTGCTCACTGCATGAACAATGTTGTATGTTTACTTTTTCCATTTTTCTATATTATTATTGCTTAACACAATATATATTATAAATTATCTTCTTAGTTATGGCCTATATGGAAATGTTTGGAAACTGCTCTCATACCAACGACTCAGAATTCATGCGTCATTCAGTACACATGGTCCAGTCCCAATGGGGTAACCCGTCAATGACCAGCCTAGCAACTGCGCAAAGCTGCTCTTTTAGTCATTCTTCGGTGCATAGTGCAAGCAGAAACGCTCAGGGACAGATGCTCTGTTTACCCTCACATTCCAGCATTGAAAGAGGGCCATCTCCTTTACATTCCCCTAATGCAACCCTTTCTTCTTCGTCGAGTAATAGTTCTGTTGTTCCTCCATTGCCACCCAAACAAAAAACACGGAAGTCGTCTTGCAAGTCTCCACCACCCACTCCAACTTCAGTGGTTTTCCTGCAGGAACCAAAAAATGCGAGTTTGACTCCATCACCTAATCAGATGAAGAGTTTGCCTGATCTTTTGGAACATACTACTGTTGGGAAAGGGAGTGAAGAGAAATCTGAAACAGCTGAGGTACAATAAGGGATTTTCTAATAAAACTTATTGATTTGTTTTTTTTTTTTAGCCAAACATAAATGAATCGGATTTAATGGAAAAGTTGAATGTGGATGATAATTTAATATTTAAGAAAACTGACGAAGAAGGTCCTGAAATTCGAGGTGGAAGTATAGATGCTCTTATAATACAAGCAACGAAGGCAACCAAAAATGGAGGTAAATCTATTTTAATTCTTATATCTTAGATTTTTAGTTTATAATCATATTTCTATGTTATTTCAAATTGTTTCTTATGTTATATGCAGAAGAAAAGGAACATGGTATGTAACTGATAGTATCCACATTCTTCTTTCTTTCTCAACTCTACAATCTATTAATTCTCCTTTCTTACAAATTCCTGCCCTTCAATATCTATTTCTTTTAGTATTTCTCAATAGTAGAAATTTGGAAGGAATATGCATGACTAAATTAGAATTATTTTCTATTTTGGTATCCTAAGTTTACTTTATTTATTAGAGTATATTATTATTTAAAATAGCTGAAAGAAAGAAAAAACACTTGCAACATTGAAAGAAATAGAACAATAAACACTTTTAGGTTTATGGATGATATCAGTTCAACTACACGAAGTATAATTTATATATTACAACATTTAACACGCAATAATATTGTTGACTAAATTATACAACGTTATTTTTATTTTGATTTTAGTTTTCGCATACCAAGAAGCTTTCCTAACAACGTATCGCACTTTTATTACACCTTTCGATTTGATAACCAAGTTGATAAGACGTTACAACCATTTCTATTATCAGCAAGATAAGAAACCACGATCAAGGGAAGCTTTTGCGTTAATCGTCAGAGTCGTTAGTGATTTGACAAGCTTAGACTTGGATGAAAAACTTACCACTAAATTAATGAACTTTGTGCAGCACTTGATTTCTTGTGGGGAGCTTATTTTAGCTAAAGCGCTTAGGGTTAAGTTGTTAGAAAGACACAAGGCTAAGCAAAAAGCTATAAGGTAAAGTCGTTTTGTTATTATGTTTTTTATTTTGTCTAAAATTGTCTTTCCTTCAGGTACACCCATATTATTAGCAGTTTAACGCTAAGTGCAAGAAACTCCACTTTAATGGATTTTAAATCTGAACAAATAGCTGAACAAATGACTCTGCTTGATGCGGAACTATTTATGAAAATCGAGATACCTGAAGTGTTAATTTGGGCCCAAGAACAAAACGAAGAAAGGAGTCCGAATTTGACTAGGTTCACTGAACATTTTAATAAAATGTCTTATTGGTAGGACTAGCAGATTATTTTTTCTGAACTTATTTTAATTCAAATAATTTTTCAGGGCCAGAACAAAAATCCTCACTGCCGAAACCAAAGATATCCGTGAGAAATATTTCATGAAATTCATTAAAATCATGAAACACTTACGGAAAATCAACAATTTCAATTCGTACCTGGCGCTTTTGAGTGCACTGGATTCAGCCCCCGTGAGGCGACTGGAATGGCAAAAACACGTCCAAGAAGGACTGAAGGAATATTGTGCCCTTATCGATAGCAGTTCCAGTTTTAGGGCTTATCGGATGGCTTTGGCCGAAACGATTCCACCGTGTATACCTTACATGTAAGATATATTTTACTCATCTATTACCTATTGATAATCCTTATTGCCAAGAATCTACCATCTTATTGACTAAACAAATTTGTATTATGTATTGATAATAGATTGAATATTGAAAGAGTGCTTATTGCCAATACTAACCTACATGCTAACATGAAAAAACAAGTGAACAAAAGAAAATAAAAAGAGCAATAACATCAATATACAATATGGTAAAACAATTTAAAAAGACTAAAAGTTGGCTTCAAAGGCAAGTTTGATCTCACTTACCGAGGAACTAAAAAAATCTATATCACATTTTTCTATCACAATACTACATTCTCCTAACATTTTGTTAATTGGTGAACAATCAAACTTATTATTAAAAAACAGTCCGAAGTTGCTAATCCTTAAGTGCACCTTTGGGACAAAAAAATTATTACTATTTATCAAGGAACAATCTTTGTACTTAATGCTATTAATTAATATGTTATAAACAAATAGGGCTGAATACATATTTCTTCTATTGCTCAGCCGAGGTCAATATGCTATTATAGGAGATCATAATATATGGGTAAACATTAAACTTCTTCACATAGAGGAATCTCAGGAATCTTTTTTGAACTTTATTTATCAGATCACTGCTGGATTCGGCATTTGGCGCCCATATGACCAATGCATATTCTAAGTAGGGTCTTACCAATGCATTGTACAATAGTATAACTGTTTCAGTTCTGTTGAAATACTTTGAGTTCCGGATGATGAAGCCATGTGTTCTGTATGCCTTTTCAACAATAATCTGCTCATTGAATTTAAAATTTTGTTAAAAGTGTACCCCCAGATCTCTACATTACTTCTTTTACATATCACAGAGTTGTCAATATTATGCATTCGTTCTCTAAAAGTTGTGTTTTTCGTGTGATTGTAAAATTGAATCTAAATAGCATTGTAGTTTCTGTGAGTCCTACAATGTTGAGATCCCTTTAAAAAAATTGAAATCATCAAATAGAAGGCTTTTTAAGTATTTAACACATCTTGGCGAATCATTAATAAATATAGCAAAGAAAGGGGACCCAAATTGCTACCCTGGGGTACCCCCGACGTAGATATAAAAGACGCAGACCAGGCTCTTTCCCACTCTAACTTGGTTTAACCTGCCAGAAAGATATGACCCCACATACATACAAGTTGAATTTGCTCAATTTTTGAATAAGTACAGAGTGGTCCATCTTGTCGAAGGCTTTGGTACAGTCCGTCAAGATGCCATCTAGCTGAGCTTTGCGATCAATAGCTTCTGCTGCTGAGTTTGTAAAAACACACAGATTTGAGACAGTATACATTCCCGGTAAAAAAACATGCTGTTCTGGGGAGAAACTGTCTCTAAAGTAAAGCAGAATATTATCATCTCTCAAATATTTTGGAAACTGAGTTCAGAACACTTATAGCCCTATAGTTCTCAACACAGCAAGAATTGCCAGATTTGTATATGGGAGTAATAACGGCATGCTTCAAGCTACTAGGAAATTTGCCCTGTTCAATTAACAGGTTATAGATTAGAGCAAGAGACACACATAGAGCCCCTGCATATCCCTTAAAAATAGAGGTTGATAAACCATTCTCACCCGTGGCCTTTTTTGGCTTTAATTTTTTTATACTTTAGTAGAACCTGTTCTACTGTTATTCTCGAAAAAGAAAAAGTCTCCTAACAGTCCAATATATTCAAATTATTTGGTTCTTGAAAAACGGAGCGAAAGACATCAGCAATAGCCTGACAGCCTCTCATACCACAAGATCTCACAAGGACCAGAAACTATTGGGGTTAGTGTGTAAATTGTTCTCAATATTTTCATTATAAGACTTGAGCGCTTCCCTACTAGGCCTTTTCACATCGCTTCTCAAGGTATCACAATCACAATCGATAAATCTGCATTACCAGCATTAATTTGCCTATGAAGATGGTTCTTACGTTTAATTTTTAAAATAAGATCACGGGTGAAACGGATACCGGTTTGATGCTTGTGTTGTTTTTTTGGGGACATTGATCAATACAGGCATACAACTTGTCATAGAAGAGCTGCATGCGTGCATCTTCATCGGAACAGCCCTTCAATTCTACCCAGTCAGCATCTTGAATCAGTCTTTATAACAATTTTATTTTTGAGTAGTCATGAATAAACGACTTTTTTATGCAGTCCATGGTTGAGTCAGAAAAATGGATTATTACTGAAAACTCGAGAGAAGGATGATAATGATAGGATAATATAAGACATTAAATGCAAAAGACTTCCACATAGCGGGTGTTCATTCTTGGAGTGGTTGGGTTGATGAAGTTATGATAGGTGGCTTTCTTGGCCATTAAAATCTCAGCTCAATACCGCTTTTCATTAGCAAGTAGTTGCCTATTAGGTGAATGTACCATTTCCACTATATCTTATATCCCTAAATCTATCAAGTAGCTTATTCGTATGGTGTTATTAATCACGTCATGTAATCATGTAATGCAATAGCAGGCGATAAAACCGATCTTGTATGTGTATTGAAAACAGTATTATGCATTGTAGTATAATATCATTTATCATTCTAACTGCACTATTCTAGAGTCTTTTGATAGTTTATTTTTCAACGCGTTGACACTTGGTGCTGACACTGTCTGCTCTTCCAGTGCGTTCTATGAATAAACAAATCTATTGCCTGAAAGTTTCTTCTATGTAGTTTTGCGGTTTTTCCTTTTTCGAGTATCTGGAGTGCCCACGAAGACAGTTTTAGTTTTGTACAAAAATTTCTCTGATCTTGCAGTTATAGTAGTAACTCGTTATTTTGAAGGTTTCGATTAAGTCTTCGTAGTTCTGGTAGTATTTTTGTAACTCGTCTTTGTATCCTCTCTAGAACTTCCATATCTTTGACATAGGGATTCCACACTGAGAAAGTGTATTCAAGTTTTGGTCGTATGTCACTTTTATACAGTTTGCCTATCATTTCTAGCCAGTGGTCTTTAAATGCTTAAACTGAATGAGGTCTACAAAAGACTTGGCTTTTTTGGCAATCTTCGAAAGGTTCTCCCATTTCAGGCCTGGAGTTATCATGACTCCTAGATCATTTTGATTTGTCACAGATTGTAATGTCACATTGTTTAGTTCGTATTCTTCGTTTGGATTCTTAAGACTGTACATTTGGACTCATTCAACTTCACTCACCAATCTGTAGACCATTCTTCAACAGTTTTTAGTTTGGTCCTTAGGTGTCCCGCATGTACTAGCGGATTTGTATATAGCTTTCCATCATCTGCGAAGTTTTTCATTTTAGATTTGATGAAACTGACAAAATTAAACAAATGTGATATGAAAAGCAAAGGGCCCATGTCTGAACCCTGGACAACTCCACTAACAAGCTGTTGATTTGATAGCACACCATTTACTCTAACTTGATAAAATCTCTCATGCAGTAGGTCCTTTACTACTTCAATGAGTTGACCTTTTACTCCAAATTGTTCCAACTCTCCTAGAAGAGATTATGTGAGACTTTGGCGAATGCCTTGTTATAATCGAGATAGATCACATCTGTGGGTTGACAATTATCATGATTGTCTCTCGCATCTTGCAGACATTCAAGTAAATTTGTTGTTGTAGAACGTTTGGAGAGAAATCCATGTTGTGAGGGTGGTATGAGATTTTTTCAAATAAAAACGCCGTCAATTCCCTATAATCATTATAGTTGAGACTTGGTTAACTTCAGAATTTAATGATGCCGAGCTTGGTATTCCCAACTATAACATTTATCGCTTGAACAGGGAACAAATAACCAATGAGTGTACCAGAGGTGACGGAGTTGTGATTTGTGTTAAAAACAGGTTGACTTCATCGCTCATTCCATGCATAATGAACACTGTTGAACATGTTTTTTTTCAGCTAACATTTGGTAAGGTGAAATTAATATTAGGAGCGGTTTATATTCTACCAAATTCACCTAGTGAAACATATGCTAACATTGCTAACCATTGCAGCGAGGTGGAAAACATAATTCGCAATTACTCTTGTTCATCCGTTCATTTCCTCTGTTTGGTTCTTCTCAGATGAAGGTGAACACCTAGTACAATGTCCCAGTGGTTATCCTGCAGAAACAATTTGTGACAACTTTTGTTTTTTCGGCCTAAAACCGAAGAATCATATCCCAAACTTGCACAACAAATATTTGGATTTAATTTTTTGCTCTGGGGAATCTGATTTTTGCATCAACATAGCCGATGATGCCCTTTTTCTTGATAGTTATCATCATAAGAGTTACTGCTGCACACTTCAAGTTGGGGAGAACGAAGAACTGTATTTCTTGGAGTTTTTTAGAGACTTTGCTGGAGCTGATTATATTGGAAATAGTTTTTTGGCGCCTATAAATTGGGAATTAGTACTGGGGAGAAATATTGACACTGCAACCGAAAAGTTTCATGCAATATAAGAACAGGTTATCAGCCTATTTGTTCCTCTTAAGACAAAAACGTCTTTTCCTGTATGGTTCACTGGGGAACTAAGACAGCTTGTTAGAGATAAAACGGCAGGCAGCTCATACCCAGTATAAGAAATTTAATAATAAAAATGATTATTTACATTTTAGTAATCTTCGAGCTAGGTGTAAACAGTTATCTGATGCATGCCATAGGGATTATATAGCTAATACTGTGAACAATATAAATACCGACTCTAAAGGTTTCTAGAAATGGTTTAATTCATTAAGGTCAAAAAACGGCATTCCCTCTACCATGAATCTCAACAATGTGACAGTTTTGAATGGTTCTGATATTTCAAATCTTTTTGCTACTCATTTTTCAAACTGTTATAGTGATAACTCTAACACTGATTTTAATATTAATGATACTAATATAACTGAAGTTGTGAATATCGGGCAAATAAAATTAAGTTCACAAGAGATGTTCGTTGGAATACAATCGTTGCCTAACAAACTCAGCTCAGGTCCGGTTAAGCTACCACCTTTCTTCTTAAGAAAATGTGTTTATTCTCTTGCTAAGCCTCTGCATTTTTCGTTTAATAAGTCATTATCAGAACACTATTTTCCAGTAGTTTGGTTGTCTAGCTACGTTTTGTCAATATTTAAGACTGGGGACAGACATTAAGATAATTAAGAATTATCAGCCAATTAGTATTTTGTCGTCGGTTCCTAAACTTTTTGAAAAGCTTCCAATACCCTATCTACAGTGGCATTGTAGGAGTTATATTGATCCATCTCAGCATGGATTTGTATCCCAAAGATCTACTGTGAGTAACCTTTTGGTCTACGAGCAAGACATTCTTTCATCATTGGGTAACTTGTCACAAATATACTGAATATATACAGGTTATAGTAAGGCTTTTGATCGTGTTAACCACTCAATTTTACTGGCAAAACTAAAGGCAATGGGGTTTCCCATATACTTATTAGAATGGCTTAAAAGTTATTTGTCAGGACGACTGCAACTAGTAAAAATTGATAATTTCTGTTCACAAGAAATTTCAGCTACATCAGGTGTGCCTCAAGGGTCTCATTTGGGCCCATTACTTTTTGTACTATTCATAATGGACTTGACTAAATGCTTTACTTTTTGTAAGCCTTTATTTTTTGCTGATGACCTCAAAATATACTCAGAGATAAATAATGTCGGTGACTGTTTTAATCTCTAGCACGACTTGAATATGCTTAACGGGTGGTCCAAGAGTAATGACATGTCGCTGAACATTGATAAATGTCATTGTATAACATTCACTAGAAGTAAAAGTCCAATACTTTTCACTTATAATATAGATAATTCATCTCTTAATAGAGTAGACAAAATACCTGATTTGAGAGTTATTTTCGACAGCGAAATGTCTTTGGTTCCTCACATAAATGCGCCATCATCCAGGGCATTCACTAGGCTGGGGTTTGTTTTGCGGGGCTGATTTTTCTGTTCCAACTGTACGTCATTTATATATTTCTTCGGTGAAAAATATACTAAATTATGCATCTCCAGTCTGGACCCCTATTTATCAAATGCATATAGACAGGCTTGAATCTGTTCAAAATAAATTTTTACGTTATCGTGGATTCAGACTCCAAATTCCTCGAGATCAATGGACTCATGAAGATATGCGAAACATCCTATCTATTAATAGTCTCAAGTCTGATCGAATTTCTGGTAACCGTGGTACCATTTTCAAGTTAGTGTCTGGTGATATAGACTGTCCGGATCTACTCGAACAGATATGCTTCAAGGTTCCTTCACGGAACACTCATAGTACCAATTTGTTTCACATTCCATATCATTCTAGCAATTATACATATAACAGCCTTTTATCTAGATTCTCTAGACTAGTAAATACTCACAATTTTGAGGTAACTGGAATTCATTTCCACAGTTTCGCCGTCAGTTCAATCCCGTCTTGTAATTCTCCAAAGGGGTGACGTTTTGGTGCCTTTTTGTAAGCGAACCTACATTATACCTGTCTCTTAGTGTTAGTGTTAACACTATATTTTAAGCTTTTGCATTAGTGAGTTTTGTAAAATGTTGTTGATCTTGTTAGTTTTAATTTTTTTTTAAATTCTGTTAGTAAATATAGTAATTATAGTAGTAGCAATATTTTGTAATAGAGGGGTGAACCCATATATTGAATAAATAAATAAAATAAATAAAAATAAAATAAATTATCTTTTCCATGCATTTTAGTGGATTGCATATTAGACTAATAGGTCTATAGTTTTCTGTTCTATGTCAATCACCCTTTTTAAATAGTGTAGTCACTCGATTTTTTTTTCATTGTCATGGAATTTTTCCATGTGTTAAACACTCCTGCATAGCCTCTGCTAGTCGAGAACTTATCGATTCGCCACAGTTCCGCAGTACTATCGTAATTATTTCATCTGGGCCTGGACTGTACTCTTTTTTCACACTTTTTAGTGCTTCTTTGACTATCTCTTCATTGAAAGTTTTAAATTCGAAAGACTCTTTAACCCTCTTACAGATTAATGAAACAGGGAGATTAGGGTTCTGCTGAGTGAAGGCTCAAAGGTCAAACTGCTCGGCAAACTTTTCAGCCATAATTGCTGTCTAGAACATCATTTGTTATTGGGTCTTTCAGAGTAATTGTCGTTACTTTCGAATTCAGGTCTAAGATAATTTCTGCTTGAGAACAGTATGTACAGGGTCTTTGAATATATTTGAGCTCGTACCTGCATACCTACTCATACCTTAAATAGTAAAGGCTATAGGTATGGGCATAAATATAAGCAAAGACCCTATGTACAAAATATTTTAGATTCAAGTAGAAATCTGATTGAAGACAAACTTTCAAAAAACAAAATGCCCTCAGCATAGAATTATTTCTACAATATGTAATAATAATTATTATTTACACTTATTACTAATTTTTTCAAGGATTCTTAATTTTAAAATTTCTTCTTTTTTAAATTTCAGAGGATTAGTGTTACAAGATTTGACGTTTGTACATATAGGAAACACCAATCTATTACCTAACGGTGCAATAAATTTCTCGAAGAGATGGCAACAATTCAATATTGTCGAGAATATGAAGAAATTTAAAAATGAGTAAGTAGTGATTTATGATTAGGGAGCAAACTTTTACAGAGTCAATGTTCGCCAACTCAATTTGAATGTATTTTTATTCTCTTTCAGAACATACCAATTCAAAAAGAACGAAAAAATAATTCAATTTTTCCAAAATTTCGATGATTGCATCGGAGAGGACGCAATGTGGAAACTGTCGGAAAAAATCAAACCCAGAGGTGGCAAGAAAACGTACTAGGAAAGTGAATGTGGAAAATTATTTATTTAATTACTTATTTGAATTGCTTTTGAAGCTAAGGTATCTGGATTTTACATCCCAACTAAAAAAGCAATACAATAATCGATTTTGTGCAATTATTTATTCTAGTTTAAGCTTGAAAGAATCTAGCGATCTTATACAGAAGGGTATAAACAAGATAATTTAGCGAAAACAAAATCCAAACAGTTGGATTTATTTAAGTCTGAAATAGTAGAATTGTATAACTAGAGTTTGATGGACTTAAAGTAGACACTCGGTACTGTGATCTTATTTATTCACAGTAATAATTAAAGAATAACGAAAAATAAGAGTAATAGAATAACCATTTCATTATTTTTTTTATAGCTATGGTTAATTTTTTGTATATTAAACTTCTTCTGAGAGCCTTGCGGAACTGGAAAGTCCGTCATGTCAATAAAAATAAAGTTCAACAAAAAAGCAATATGATGAAAATTGGTGAAAAACAATTATTAAAACTAAACATGTATCTCACCACTGGGCAAATATATCTTGGTGATCTCATAGAGATTTGCATACAAAAATTTCAAGATCATCAGCATGGGGTTCTTATTTTCACAAGCTGTTTCCTTTTAGTAAGATAACTCGCAATTATTTATTATTTAATATTATAATGTTGTGGAAAAAAGCTACAATACGTGTTAAGTTCCTGGGTGCTATTCACGTAAAAGGTGATACATTTTTGCATTTCCATAGACTCACGAAGAAAAACAGTGGTATTTATGTAATAGTTTCGAATGATGCAGGAGTCGAAGAGAAAATGAAGATAAGAAAAGCTTGGGAAAGAGTTTTGGCTGCAAACAAGCCAATCAAAACTTACACACGTGTTTGCTCAAAACATTTCACCAACAATTGAGCACTGACAATAAAAGGGGAATTTTTGGAATAACTGAAGGTGAATGAACTGATAAGATTGTCGACTTAGGCTATTGTTATAGAAAAAAAATAGCTATTTATATTAAGGCTTACTAGAAATAGAACAATTATGCTAAAGTTTTCTCCAAAACGGTGACAGAGGGCGAAACAAATTTTAGATCACTGTACAGATGATAGGTATCTGGAAAAGGCTCTTTTTCAGCTGTGATGATGGAGCGTCCGAGACTGTTCGGTATTGCGGTGCCTTCCGTTGTTTTGCCTCCAAAGCATGGGGATTGAGTCTAGTTGCTACATTTCATTTAATTTTCTTATCCACCATTGGTTCTTCAATACTTGCGTTTGCCTTCGAACTTCTGCTTATGCTTGCTACTATTGCCTTTTTTTACAGTTGAGCCAATATCGTCTTGAAGGCGTTCTATGTAAAATTTGCATCTGAACTGCTTTTTCAAAGCCAATTATTTAGCTTAGAAATAAGAAATCGTATCACTGACTTCAATAGAACACATCTATACATTCTTCTCCATAAGCGAAAGGTGTTACCATTAACTAGAGTTTATACTATCGAATGTCTACTTTATTGTCAAAAATCGTAACAAAATTACCATCTATTATAGCTTAGGCATACCTAGAGAGATTGCTTAAAAATTTATCACTAGATTTTTTAATTTAAATAATTCAATAATAATTCAAATGTATCCCTCTTCGGAGATAAGAGTAAATTCAAATTGAGTGGTGAATTTAATACCTTCTAGTAAAATTATTCTAGGTAGTTAGTCTATGCATCCATTCTTCTTTAATGGTAGTTGATGTTGAAAGGAATCTTGTCTGGGTAAAATACAGGATAAATTTCAATGATTTATTTTAAAAAAGGCAAATTTGTTTCCTCTGCATAAGGCTAATTTCTAATTTTCTATCCTGTATTTTTGCCCATTCCCTTCGGCTTTTTGTAACAAGACTGATATACTTGGTGTTTTAACTTATTGATAAGTGTGTGGATAAAGTCCCCCCACTATTTAAGTGAAATAGTTTAAGGAAATAAGTCGCACATAACAGTTCCCAAAACTGTCAGTATTTTTTCTTGATTGACAGTAAACAATATGCAATATTGAGTGAACAAACAGGCCTAAAAAAAACTTATGTGTTGTGCAATTATTTATTGTATTTCTACGCCTAAAAATAATAAAGCGGTGGAATAAAGCAAAACATAATTTGGAAGGTAACTTCAACTTGAAAAGATTAATATGCAGCGGTACCAATTAAAAAAAATTATATCGTGTTGAAAATAATTGAAAATTATTTTTAAAAATTGGGTTTTTGCTTTTACATTATAGTTACTTCGGTCACACATCTATACGACATGTTGTAGGTAGACATTTTTGTTCGCGACGCCTAATAATAGTTAATCCCGTCAACAAAAATATTATTTATATTCCTACTCAATATGCGTTGAAACATAGTACGATGATGCGTTCCGAAGTTATCATTTGAGAAAAACCTCGTGGGACACCCTGTATATTTTTTTTGAACAAAGTCTGTGACATGTCGGTTTGATGTGTGGCAAGCCTTAGGTTTACTATAAACAAAAAATGTCTTTCAATAATATAATATTATGGAAATGCTGCTTTGATTGTGGTTTACTTTCTTGAGAAGTACATTGGTAAATTGGCCTAACCCAATCAAAACAGTCTATATTGAGGTTCCAGTATTAAAAAAAAAAAACAAGAAATCTTTTAAACTAAAATGTCGCGCTTGAAATTTCACATCTAGTCATTGCTAATCTACGAAATAAATTTAATTAATAATTGCTATTTATTGATATTATTCTTATGTGTATACATGCTTAATATTAGGAACAAATTGTATTTACTTTTGAGATAATTTACAATTAAGTCTTAGATAGACAGTATCTTTTTAAAAATTTTATCGACAAAATTTGTACATATTATATTATTATACTGGGTGTGCCAACTATTGTTCATTTATTTATTTAATTGGAAAATCAAATTATAAAAATTAAATTTAGGAAAAAATTGTTTACTGGCGCACCCTGTATTTAAGACATAACTAGTTTTAGAAACACTTTAATGAAGAAAATAAATGTTGTAGTTGTAACAAGTAAATTTAGTTATAAAACACATAGAGTGGCCAACCATTTTTTCTGCACAAATAATGTCCACACATCTCAGAGTAATCATCATTGCATAATCATATGAAAGTGTATGTTTTGCCAGAAGAAAAATATAACTGGTTAAAAGTGATTTTATAGAAATTTAGCACCAAGCAGAACCAAATATGGTAGGTACACGGTACACTGGGATATTTAAAAGAATAAGTATATTTCTTTATTTATTATTTTGGGTCACACTTTTTTGTGTAGGTGACAAGAAATTACCTATTTCGATGCAGCAGCGCAATCATGATATTTTTATAGCAATTTAAAACCATTTTGTAGCAAGTTACATAACTTTTCTCGCGATTGGATTCAGAAAGATATGGTAAACTTTAAACGAGTAGTCCTAATGCAAACTGAACAATCAACGTGTGAGAACAAATTAGGTCAAAAAACCATATGAATAAAAGTAGTTGACCGTGACGCTACAAAACCCAACTGGTGATTTGCTTAAGTTAAAAACAAAATGTAGCCAAAAAAAAAATATCAGCCAAACATTTTTTTTTCTTGTCACCTCCATTGTGAAGTCAATACAAAAAAAAACATCAATAATAAAATTACTTTTATTAATAAAAAAACTAAGATAGGTATATACTATAGAGGCCTAACTAAATTGTAAGCTCCAAATGTTAGCATATAAACGTGAGAAAAGAAAAGTCGGAGTCAGCTGCGAGTGCATTAGTTTGCTCTTATGAATTAGTATTTAAACGCTAGCTAATCCGTAATAATATTGTAGAATAATTAAATTAATTGTTCATTCATCGATTACCTATGTTGTATTGTTTCAATGGGTGAAAACCCTAGAGATAGCAAAAATCTGACTCCAAGTAAAAATTTTGAAAAGTATTAAAACTGGTATCTTAGAACCTCCTTGAATCCACCCCATCAGTCAATTCAATTGCTCTGATGGCGATGGTTGTCTCTTATAAAAGAAAAATGCTCAATTTTAAAACGAATAAAATTTTCTGAAAGGTTTATTTCATCGAAATAATTAGAACCGGTTTGCCACCTTGACATGGCAAAATCTCGAGTCTGACAGGTGCTATGTCAATATGTAGAACTTGCATTGAAGATACTACAGTGTATGATACTTCTGAAATGGAATTTGAATTATTTCAAAACTTGTTGACTCTTTTATTCCAAAACTCAACTACTCGGGTTTGTGCCAATTAAAAGTGACAACAAAAGGATGAACTAGCGCAAATTGGAGATTAAATTTATTATTGAAAATTTACAAATTTTTTTCGTTTAATTTTAAGTCCTAGAGGAAAATGGTGAAAAGGAAAGTTGTTTTACCCGAAAAGCAATTTAGCACAAACCCCATTTTGATATGTTCAATCGTTGGGCGTATCTCGATTTCGAGCAATATTATCAAATCTTCACATTTGTGGACTTTGAGAAAGTATTTGACTCAATCCAGCATAACTCTATATTAAAGGCTCTTACAGAGAGCTGTATTGACCATTAGTACGCAACTCTTCTTCAGAATATTTATAAAATAATGCAATATTACCTTGCATTTTTTGGGACTTACACCTCAATTGAAATTATTAATTTAGTAATTCGTATTAAGATCAAGAAACTTCTGGTAATAATTTCAATTGAGGTGTAAGTCCCAAAAAATGCAAGGTAATATTATAAATCCACCTCAAACATACAGACATTTATTACAAAATAATGTAATAGCCGCAGTCAGAATGTATCATGGCGACACCAACACATTCCCTTTGCAGAAAGGTATTAGACAAAGAGACACCATCTTCTCTCCTAAACTATTCACTGCTTTGTTACAAAGCGCCATGAAGAACAACAATTGAGAAAATATAGGAGTAAACATCAATGGAGAGTATCTAAACAATCTAAGGTTTACAGACGACATTGTCTTTATTTCAAACAGGGTAGATCATGCATATCAGCTGCTCCAGGCCCTCCAAAGTTCTTGTGCACGAGTTGGCCTTAAAATAATTTTTTTCAAAACGCAATTCATGACCAAACTTTACTGGCCAAAAACATTTCAACGTATGTCAAGCAAATAAAACAAGTCGGTTCCTATATAAATATTTAGGCCAGGAAATTAAATTAGGTAGAGGCAACCAGACCACAGAATTGAACAGGAGGATAGGATGTCTTTTAAATCAGATATTCCCATGTGCTTGAAGAGGAAGGTCACACTTCGGTTACCTTATTCTTGATTCTTAGCAAGTCTTCAGTGGTTATTTGTATGTTGTGGAACATGGAAAAATCCAAAAAGAAGGCCACGTTTCACATTTTCAAATAACACACTGTATATGACCTTTTTTATTTGTTTTTTTTTTTGTGAAATAACAAGGAATTTAATAATATAGGGTGGGCTCAAAAAACCGGAATTTTGTTTTTGAGCTGTAATTTTTTTGTTGTTGACCAATAAGGGTTACTACTTGCATGAAAAATTAAATTGATTATTGTTTATTGCAAACTGTAGGAAATCGAAAAAAATCGATGCGTGTTTCTCTATTTTGTTTAAATATGATTATTTCGGAAGTTATAACAAATATTGAGTTTTATATATATAGATATACTGAGCATGTGCGACGTCACAACTCACAACGTATTATACCTTAGTTATGACGTCGCAAGGACATTTCAAAGCGTTGTATGTCCGTCAATTTTTGACTCACAAGAAAAAGAAAAAACACGTGTTGACTTATTTTTCATGGACTATCGAAATCCGCAATAAAAAAAATTTGATGCAAGGAGCCTATTGTGTACGATAGATATACAGGGTGTCCCACGGTGGATGGCGTATTAGACGTTTATGGAAAACTAAAAAGCGGATCATTTTGAAAATTTGGCAACCGGGATAAACGACCATAATCTACACTTCAAAAATATTTTTGTATATGCGGTGTTGCCGCGTCTACTCTAAACCAGTAGCAACATCGCTATTTTAAATGGAGCACCCTGTATGTGATTGCATATTTGGATTCTACGTAAATTTCTGAGCAGATTTCATGTGATATACCCTATACCTAAGTTCAACTGTTTTGGAAATATTGACAGTTGAAAATTGACTTTTTGCAACTTTGACAGGCTGTAAAACCTGAACGGTTAATTTTAGAGGAAAACCGATCTCTCATTCCTATCTTAGATTTTCATAAACTATCATTTGGCACCAATTTTGAATTTAACCGAAGATTGAATTTAATTGGAATTTTTAATCATGGATTAAATTTAAAGTTGCTGTCAAATGATAGTTTATAAAAATCTAAGATAGGAATGTAAAATCGCTTTTCCTCGAAAATTAACCGTTCAGGTTTTACAGCCGGTCAAAGTTGCAAAAAGTCAATTTTCAACTGTCAATATTTCCAAAACAGTTGAACTTAGGTATAGGGTACATCACATGAAATCTGCTCAGAAATTTACGTAGAATCGAAATATGCAATCACATACAGGGTGTTCTATTTAAAATAGCGATGTTGCCACTTGTTTAGAGTAGAAGCGGCAATACCGCATAAACAAAAATAATTTTGAAGTATAGATTATGGACGTTTATCCTGGCTGCCAAATTTTCAAAATGATCCGATTTTTAGTTTTCCATAAACGTCTAATACGCCATCCACCGTGGGACACCCTGTATATTGAACCACAGATTGAACATAAATAGACGAGAACATGTTACTCCTCACATTACTAAAAGTAGAATGTAGAATGCTCAAGATGAAAGAAAGAAGATTATTACATTTTGCTGTTTTGATACAAAATATTATTTAGAACTCAGAATATCTCTCCGGTGAGGCTTGGTGACATTCATACCAGGTCAACAAGGAACAGATATTTTCGAATTACACTGTACTGAATTTTTTTAATCTTCTTTCTCTTATTTGGGCCTACATGTGTACATGATACCAAATGGAAATACAAAAAGTAGGGCCTATAAGCAAGAATTAACGAGCAAATTAATAAAATACAGAAAGTTTGAAACATAAAAAACTAATAATATTATATCTATTCTATGTATCTAATAAAGGCATCACTGTTAAACATGTGAATGCAAATCTGTCCAGGGTAAGTAACACCCGATAAAGAAACTCTCCGTTGCGATATCGGGTGTTACATTCAAATTTGCGAACGTGAGCCAAATGGGTGTTACTTACCTCCATGCGTCCCGGCTAGTGCCACGATTCACGTGGGTTGCCATGGTGACGAACGCGTGACGTCACCCGAACATCGCGCCAGGCAGTGCATTTCTTGGGCTCCAAATGATCCGCCCGAAGCCCCGAAATCAGGAAATTTTCGCGCTTTCGACGGTTCCCGGCGTTTGTTCAATGTTATGTTTTCGATTTAAATTCAGTTTTTTTATTAGAATTCGGAAGGTTTGCTCAATTAATTTGCTAATATGAAGATAAGTGAATTACAAAAACTCGTGTTTCGTGTTTAGCTGTACAAGTCTAAATGACAAACTTGACTTGAAAAATACTGGACGACCATTGTCAATATTGAACATTGCAAGTACCGGGTGTCCAAATAAGAAAGGTCGCCAGCTATATCTCAGGAACTGTTAGTCCTAGAGCTTCCAAGTAAAAATTTTTTTCATAAAATAGGCCATGAGAAATTGCTGGAAATAGTGTTCAAGCTTGTAAGTTGACCGCTAGGGGGCGCAACGAACACTCGAAAACATAATACTGTGATTATCTTCAAAAAACGCCTACTAAGGGTATCCTAAAAATAGGATTATTGAAATCTTGATGAGATTACGAAAAAATTTTGATAAGGATTTTTTGCTCTAACTCTTCAAATAAGAGGTGGGGGAAGGTTCAAACTTGTTAGGAACAAAAATTATATAACTTTTTTGTTTTTCAACCGATTTCAATGAATCGGGTGTCATTTGAAAGAGTTTTTTTCTGTTCAATAGAATGCATAACAAAACTAACAAAAAAGATTAAATTGTTTCGTTGCCGCTAGGGGGCGCTGTGTCCAAAAGTAGGCAATTTTCCATTTTTTCTCGGAAATTTCAAATATAATGATGCTGTTTTTATAATTTAGATGGAAAGAGGATAAAAAAATAAGGAATCTGGTGAAAACCGCAAGTATAAATCATTATCCTTTTCGGGATAAAAAAGAAAGAATCTTATTTTTTTACGGCACTATAGAATTCGTAAGAAGAAGAACTAGTTGTGTATCTGAAAGTAGCTACCAATCCACGATATCAAGAATTGAAATTGAATTGAATTATGTTATTTACAATCCAAGCTGCGAAAGCACATTTCTAGGTGCGAGGTGTATTTAATACCTCCGAAGACCTAAATAGTTATTTACATTCCAAGCTGCGAAAGCGTACTTTTAGATGCGTGTATTCAAATAGCCGAGGCTGCGCTTCGCTTCGCCTCGGCTATTTGATAACCTCCGAGCACCAAACAGGACAGCAGCATGTGATGTATTAAACTTTTCATCCTTCCCCCTCAAAAATCGTGTAAAGGCGTGCGAAAGTGAAGGTACCTACAAGCATATTTCACTTTCGCTTTTGCTCGCCTATGAATCTGGTGAAAACCGCAAGTCTGAATCTTTATTCTAGCCCAAAATATAAATAAACAAATATTTCAAGTAAGAATAATTTCAGAAAAAAACCTTCTTGCCTTCCTTTTTGGGATAAAATAGAAAAAATCATATTTTTTTACGGCACTATAGAATTAGTAAGAAGAAGAACTTTGTGTATCTAAAAGTAGCTACCAATCCACGATATCAAGAATTGAAATTGAATTGAACTATGTTATTTACAATCCAAGCTGCGAAAGCGCAATTTTAGGTGCGAGGTGTATTTAATACCTCCGAACACCTAAATAGTTATTTACATTCCAAGCTGCGAAAGCGCACTTTTAGGTGCGAGGTGTATTTAATACCTCCGAACACCTAAATAGTTATTTACATTCCAAGCTGCGAAAGCGTACTTTTAGGTGCGTGTATTCAAATAACCGAGGCGAAGCGAAGCGCGTACCTCCGAAAAACTAAAAAGGCTTTTGCAGCGTGTAATGTATCCAACTTTCCATTGTACCCGTCAGGAACACATTTTTTTATCTTGAACAGGCAAGCGAAAGCGAAATTCAAACATGCTAGTCATTACTCTCACTTTCGCTTGCCCATTCAAGATAGAAAAACATTTTATTTACAATCATACATGTAATGTTGACTTTTCTGAGTTTTAAAATGTCACTTTTTTGACTTTTACTTTTCACCCATGGGTTGAAAGTTTACTTTTCTCCCGTGGGCCGAAAGTAAGTGAAATTGTTGAAATTTATTATATTTTTTTAGTTCTCATCAAAATAAAAATTACAAAATTCGAATGATTGTAAATAAAATACATAGTATACATACCTCGGTGAAAAGTTTCATTACTGTCTCGAGATTTTAGTTGAACCTCGCTTGCGCCTCGGTCTAACCGTTGTAAAATCTCTCGACAGTTATAAAATACTTTCCACCTCGATATGTAATATACTATTATTTTAAACCATATTGGCGATGTCGACTACTGAT